AAACAGGAATCATGTCTGTCTGTCATCTGTGGCAGACTGAGGAGGGACAAAAACATTTTGGAATGTTTTGATTATTGGCACAGCGGTCATTTCTCTGTTTAATGTTTTTTAAGTGTAGTCTATTTTAAAAAAAATGTTTTGTCTTCAGCAATAAAATGAAATAATTAAACATTTGCCAATCGTTGGCACCATCAGGAGGGGGATGGGGTGTCTGGTAAATGATAAATCAAACTATTAGTTGGCATGCTGATTTTAGCATTCCACTCAAAATTCTGCTGTGATTTAGGCACTGCATGAAAGCAAAAAGTTGATGGTTAAAAGAAAAATGCTGAAAGGAAAGAAGGAAGAAAATGTGTTACTTGAAAACCTAAGGGTGTATTCATACTTGAAACAAACTAAAACCCTGGTGCTGTTCTTTTGAGCCGGTGTGAATACAAACCATTGAATCCCAGCATGAAGAGATGGTTTTGTTTACAAATTCTGGGCCTCTTGCAAAAAAAATGCAATGTGAAAACGAGCCGCACCAAACCAAAAAAGAAACATTGAATTTGGTCCGGACCAAAGAAAGCAAACTAAAGGACTTTCCTGGTGTGAATAAACCCTAAGAGAGATTTCTTCACACAAAGTAATGACAGAAAAGTGGTGTAAGTATATGTTTGTGAGTGTGTGTGTGTGTGTGTGTGTGTGTGCATGCGTGTGTATGAGTGTGTGTCTGTGTACAACTCATTCTTCCAGGTGGCAGGTGGGAAACTGAGGCAGAGATAAGAAAACTGAACCACACCAGACCCTACTTGCCCACTCACAATGATTTACCTGTGTGTCAGTGTGAGTGCTAAAATAACTTCAGCATATATGACTTACATGCATCTGTTCCTGCTCATGACACAAAAAATCACTTGTACAGAATCTTACAAGGTGCGTAATAACACGTGATAACAATGTCACCAGCAATCGTCACAGCCAGAAGGCACGTGCAGAAAACAGTTATTCCTGCAGCAGGAACTGAAAGCCCTGAACCAGATGTCATCCTGTCCGAACGTGACGAGAATTACACGTTTTTTTTGACACATTAACTCTGTTCTGTTTGGGTGTGAACTCAGAAGAGACATTGCTACAGCTACACACTTTATCCCATAAAAAGGAGGTGTGAGGGGATGATTTTGTGAGGTGACAGAGCACTCTGTTCATTTGGACTTCAATGGAGACTCACACTGACAAGAAGAGAGAACAACAATCACACTGAGTACTTCCTGACACAGGTTAACAAAGGACAAGCTGCACAGAGATACAGAAGAACATGAGGAATAAAGTGAAGCATGGTTAATACTGGTACATAAAATGGATGGTTAACTTTGATCTCTTTTGCCTAGTTTGCTGCAAGTGTTCTGTAACAAAGAGCTCTGTTGCCACCTGCTGGAGAAATGGAATAGCTTAGGTATGATGAGAAAACAGAACAACTGAGTTACATGGAGTAGATAGAAAATTGTGGTTTGTTCTCACTACCAATGATTTGGATAAAAAGTATTTTTTGTTTAGCCCTACAATTGTGGAATAGCCGGAACACAATGCACCAGCTTTTGTGTTTCGTTTAGTTTATTAGGATCCCATTAGCTGCAGCATGTCAACAGCTGTTCTTCCTGGGGTCCTGTACACGGATAGTGATTATAAAAGAAGGATTAATCTCATTTGAAAAACTTAGTTTGACCACATGCTGCTATTTTCAAGACATTAAAATTGATCAAATCACTGTGAATGTTAAAAGTGTCCCAACTATCGATACATCTGAACCCATCTGTTATCGTCTGATGACATTATATACCTCATTGGTCATTGGTGCCAAGAATGGTCTAAAACAGCTTGCTTAAAGGAACTTTGTCACTGGCGTCCGTTTTTTCTCTGCCAATCCGTGAATATGGTGTAAAGAAAGTGATGAGTCATGGAAGCAAAAAAAAAGTTGAAACATAAAATATGCCACTGAAAAAAATAAGACCTCAAATATAAAAATATAATCCTATTAAAGTGAAAATTTTAAATAAATTATGTTTTAAAAATAATTCCAGAATTTAATCAAAATTATATTTAACTTGGAAAAAAACGTTCCGTATACTTATCTTTATTTTGAATACATTGATGTATTTCAAGCTCAAAACTTGAACTTTCAGTTTTACATTTTGTTTTCAAATGATCAGAACTTTTGACCCTGATTTAGCTCCATACAATTTATATTCATAAATTAATCCAACAAGCATGATTTTGGTCATGCAAAAGTACCCGTAGGGAACCCACACTTGCACATGAAAAACATGCAAACTGCACACAGAAAGGCCCTGTCTGACAAGGAATTCAAACCAGGAACCTTTACTTAACCACTGCACCACTGTGCAGCCACATTAGGTACATTCTTATTAAGACTATTTCCTTCCTGCAGCAGACATAATTGTATTTCCATAAAAACCTCACAGTACTATTCCATACACAGCAGCACAAAACAGCAGACAAAGAAAGCAACTAGTTGGTAACATAATTAGGTATTATGTATATTTCTCCACCGGATTTGATGGTGAGCCTGCAGAGCTAGAAGAAGAGTGAGTGAATACTTAAAAAGGAATGATAATGTTCCTACATATCTTATTGATGTGTAATTGGCAACTGTTTACATCAATAAACCTGCAATAACAGTGTCTACCACTAGGAGGCAACAGAAACAACCAAAGAGACATTCTCTTGCATTGATAAAATAAATATTTCAATATTTCTGCTAACAGCTGTACACATCCAGTATAGAGTAACATTTTATTCACATGAACTCAGGTTTCTGAAAATAATCAGTGTAAGTCCGTCACATTAATTGTTTTACTATTGTTGATATCAGATGTCTGTTTCTAAAAGGTAAACATCACATTTCTGTATTTAAATATCCAAATCATCTAGCCAAATATGCTATGTATTTTGTAGGACACATGATGACAGAGTTATGGGGTCAGTCTGATGCATTGTAAGCTACAGTTAATTGCAGTTACAATGCAAATGAAAGTAAATAATTTGACTTTAATACACAACTCATACAGCAATGAAGACAGCCAACATGCTCCAATGCTTTTGAAGCAGATATAATAACATTAAATTCTTAAATGCTCAACTTTGTTCAGCAGCTATTGCTAACTGTGTCTGTCTGTTTTATCGTGCTGTGCAGCTTTTTAACTAAAATCAGCTGCCTATTGCAGCTAAAGTTACGATATTAAGGTGGTGAGTGTATATGAAAAGTTGCAGAGTAGAAAGCTAAATAATGAGATTAAAACTCAAAGTAAAGCTCTATAAAGTAGGCAAGAGTCACAAATTTAGATGATGTTCTCTTAAGTAAATCAGATCACAGTGCACATTATGATCTCATCTTAATCTTACATACATTTGTTTAAAAAATATTTATAGCTACATCAAGCATGAAAACATGTCAGTATTGTGTAAAGGCGAAGTGTACTAAAATCTGATGTCAGTCTAATCTGTTGTCAAAGCGGCATTAAAGGCATCATTGGACAAAGACATCCACGAGAGAAAGAGATGTTTGTTGTCTTGTGATACAGCCAGGTACAAATCTCAGTAATCCTCACTAAACCAGTATCTGTTTTCAGGACTGCAGCATGAGTAAAAATGCACCACCAGAGGTTTAAAAATCAGGACGCTTCCCCAAAAACTTTGCCTATTCAGCAAAGTGTGTGTCTTATCTTCATCTATATTCCAAACCACATCACCTCAGGGTCTTTTCCAATCATCTTAAAAAGAGTTTGCTCTATAGAAAATGTTCCTGCTTTGCTTCTTGATACTGTAATTCCACCATTGATAATGGATCCTCAGAGCCCCCGTGCTGCATATGGATAGAAGAATAAAGGTCTGAATTGTCAGCACTTCTAGAAGAGTCCACCTTAGAGTGTGACTTCATATGTGTTAAAGCTCTACCCATTTCAAAGCACGCTAGCAAGAGCATAGGGAGTGGGACGTGTCTCTATCAATAACAAGAAACTACAGAACTCTTCAATAATTTTGCCCAAGAAACTGAATTAAATGCAGATGCTCCAAACATGATCACATACTGTATGAGTTCAGTCACTGTTACTTCAAACACATCACTGATAAGCCTCCACATCTGCACATCTCTCTTCTTCTCTTTCTTCCAGGGGCTGGGGGAGTGCGCAGCTAGCACTTTGGATATGTATTAAGGCATTATTGGGTCTGTAATAACACTGCCTGAGCATGTTGGCGTTTAAAAAGCTCTAACATGCAGTGAGATACATCAATATGCAGGAGGTAATGTCAGTCTCACACATATTTATAACAACCTGTTTAAAAATAAGGTGAATTCCTGTGCTCAAAAACAGTGTAGACAGTTTATTTAATAAAATCTGGCAGTGAGAATACAGCGTAGGGGTGAGAAAAGCCACTGAACACATTTCACTCTCCTTTGATCTGTGCACAGGTTACATGAAACTTGAAGGGATGTTTCATTAACTGTCTTCAAAGCTATTCATTCAAAAAAAAGATCTAAATATAACCTCAACAAAACCAATGTTTTCATGGTGACTGCCTAAGCTGCCTTCAACCTTCTTTGGCACATAGACCTATTATGAAAATCAAGTTTTTTTCCATTATTATATTTATCTTTTATTTATGAAAGCCGTTAAATGGATGGCTGATCGGTCATTGTTAATAACAGCGATCGTATATGCTTCTATGTTGGAAAAAGGATTTAGTTGGACTTGTGACGGAGTTAATATGCAAAAGATCGACATTTTGGGATATCATTGCTGATCTATCTTGTATATGTCTTCATGCATTAGAAAGAAATAAACGTTTTTTTATACATACATAGTTTTTGTTGTCACATAAATATAAGATAAATTATACATTTCCACCACAGATTAGTATAAAAACACACCAGAAAGCAGGATATAAAGGGTTTAAAGTAGTACCACTGATGCTTCTACATTACTTTTTTTTTTGTCCACATCGTTTTCTATTCTGCTAAAGTTAAATAGCTTTCTTTGAAATTTAAGGTTATGTTAATCAGCATATCACAGTAATGAAGCAAGAGATCTTCAAGGACCCCTGGGAGTTCCCGGAATCCACTTGGAAATAGTTTGGGGAGTTGTTTATTCCCTTTGTAGCCACTAGATGTCATTCAAACAAACAGACGTAGTACAGAAGGTGCTGATGGACTCATTACAAGCACAGTCCGTCTTCACTTGTGACATTTTCCACCCAGATTACCGGTTAACACGCATGCCATGCTCGTGAATATTGATTTATTCCCTCTGATCAATTAAGACCACATTTGGAGCCGCGGTGCCTCGAGGGAAGAAACAATCCCCCGTTAAGATCCGTGCGTCATCGGGTCCCGTACTGCTTCTCCCTCGTCGTGCCTCAGACAGGAGCTGGAGGGTCAGTAGAGCCACACCGATCACCGATCAGCGCGCTAATTGAATACATAAACCGACCAATCCGTCGCGCCTCAACCCGGATGACCCCCGGCGTGACGCGTCTCTCCGGTGAGGGTGAGGAGGGGGCAGAAGCCGTGGAGGAGAGGAGAGGAGAGGCGCAGATCTGCAGGTGCTCTAGCGCTGTCGTAAAGCAGGAGAGTCTGAGAGCATTAGAGCGATGCCAGGGGTAACGAAGTACAATTTAGTGGATGACGCGCACGATTTGAGGATCCCCATGCACAACGACGAGGTGTTTAAGCATGGGGTCTGCTTCGAGGCGAAGGTAGGGACCCTCTACAACACATACTTTATGAGTGACAGCAATCAAAAGATGCTTGAGGATCAATGACACTGCTGCTGTTACAGCGACCACTGAGCATCTTCATCCATGAGGTTTTCATTAGCTCGTAGCCTATTTGTCGTTATTAACATACTTTGATTTATCCACTTTGCATGACTTTATACGTCCGTGATTTAACCATCTTTGACCCTCCTTGCTAGTACTGCCTACAGACCGATAACCTGATGAATGTAACATTCATTTTAATTATCATCGGGCACATTTCAGATGAATAAAGGACATGCTGGTGACTGTTTTTACATTTTTGTCTTGCACTTTTGATGTCCTGCAAATTCAGAGTAAGTGTGAAGACTGAAACGTTGCATTTTTTTCAACAATTGAAATGTTGCTTTTGGGATTATTCAAATAAGCTTTTGCTGTACAAAACATCCAAAAATGAAAGTTAAACAATTATCAATTTGCTGAAGCCACACAGGGTGTTTTGGGTTCATTTTAGGGATTTAGCAATTCATAGAATATTTAAATAAATATTATTTAGACAGGAAAAGACAGACCCTCAAAAATTAGAAGCTGATATAGTTTGGTATTTCTGATGTCAAATTGGCTGCATTAAGGATGAAAAAGCATGCAAAATAGTTATCTGTCAATCAACTAATCAATAATCTTTATAATTACAGCTGGAAAGAAATAATTTACTCATAAAGGAGAATATATCCAGAGAAGCACAAATAAAGCTGTCAAAACTATACTAGAAATAAACAATTTGCCAGTTTAGCACTCCGAACCCATCATCGGCATTTCAACTTTCTCTTGCACTTTGCAGTACATTGGCAGTTTGGAAGTGGGTCGCCCTGGCAGCCGGATGGAGATAGTCGCTGCGATGAGGAGGATCAGAGTAAGACACTTAACCCATCACTGAACTTGACCCCTGAGTCGATAGTAGTCGCAACACATTAACAGACAGCCGCCGACTGATGGGGTGCATGCACAATTATCCACTCTCTCTGTCTCTCTCTTGCCTTCATCTCTCACCTTGTGCTCCCTGCATCCTTACTCCCCCAACATCCTCCTTACACATAAATCGCCAGTTCTGCGTAAAAGCACACACTGCAGATTCAGTGGGCTGCCAGCAGTGCTTTAAATCACAGCAGAATTCATGGGACTGATTTTATGGCTGAGGAGAGATACAGTGTGCAGGTTTTATGTGTACTATTAGTAAAACCAACTCCCTCTGGAGCCTCCCTGCAGACCTGACAAGGCCACAGGAAACACAGCGCTGCCTTGTCATTACACATGACTGCAGTGTTACACACAGAAGCGCACAGGGAGGAGAGGATTTAGCTGCTTGTCAGCTGTTGGATCTAATCTAACAACCCAAGTTATTGTGTCACTCAGAGGTCACACACATCCCGAGTGACACCAAGAAAGAACTTAATCCTGATCCCTCGTGTTTGCTGCGGTGTAATGGCCATTTGATTGTGCCTGCAAAGATATAGTGATGCTGTATTTTTGAATTTGGTCTGACACATCTATCAGGAATCTCTGATTGGTTTTATGTTCCCATTTTTCGTAATGAAAGCTCTTGCATGCAGTTTGAATGAATGAATTTTATACTACAAGTGAAAACAGCAAGAAAAAAAACTTCCCAAAGAAGGTAGGCTTTTGGAGCCCTCAAGCCATTTCCGTGCAAATACCTTTTTCATCCATTCTTTCACAAACACATTTAATAAAGGTCTTTGTTACGCCGGTCTTATCTGAAAGCAAAGTTTACAAAGTGCTTGTCTGCAAAGTTTCAAAGCAGAAATAAACTGAAGGCGATAAGGAATAGGAGAAAAAAATGAAATACAATAAACAGAATTATGTCCAATGTGGGCGAGATTTAAATTGATAACATAAAAGCAAGTCAGCAGGAGAGTGAGGCCTGTTTGTGAGCTCTGTAATGGCTCAGTAATTAAGAGTCTCTTCTTCTGTTGAGAGAGTCGCTCTCACTGAATATTCAAGAGGCAGTGTGTCCTCAAAAGACTCACAGCTGCTTAGTGAGAGGAGTGAAGGTGAGCTGACACAACCTGTGGAGAATGAGCTTTGCACCAGGCAGACTGAGTAAGTTACTACAGATGCTGTCTGTGCTCCTTTCAGAGACTCTTTACAAGAAGTGGACAGCCAATTCAGAAGTGCTTGAACCCACACAGTTTGTAATTGCCAGCAGGATGTGACTTCAATGGTTGCAAAAAGAAGTCCAATTGGGACGGATGGGACAATGACCATACTTCTTGGTTGATCTATTACCGCATTAGATGTTTTACTAATGATTTTATGTTCTCTATGGCAAGTTGCAAGTGTTCTTCAACACGGCATGATGTTCATTATAGTTTATGGTACTACTTAAGAGTAAAATTACACTACAAGAACGATCAAATGTATTGTATCGTATGACATCATACGATATATAAGCATATTAGGCTATATGACTTATGGTATCACAAATATCAAATCAAATTATATCATATGGTATGATTTTTTTACCTGATCATTGTACTATATTCTATTGTATTACATCACAATATTTGTACCATGTCATATTATATCCCATTATACTGAAATCGTACCATATCACCCAAACCGTATGGTGTCATACTGTGTTTCATTACAATGTGCAGTATCAATCCATATCCTATGGTATCTTTTTTGTATGAATAATTGTATCATATCATGTCATATCATATGGTATCATACAAACAATGTCAAAGCTTGGTATGTTTAAGGTGTGAATACCTGTGTTTGACGGGTTGCTATACCACCCTACCTCTTAACCAGGGTAAAGACATGACAATGCGTTTCCACCCTGTCGTCCAATAATGGACACTTTTGGCTCAAAAAAACACAAGTCAAAATTCCAAATTTAAAACTTTAATAAGTGGATTCACAAACCAACCTGTGATGCAAGGAGTGCTTAGTTCACCTCTTTTATTCATTCGATGTCTGCCCTTCATTGCCCTCTGACAGCTGTGTGCGTGGAGATGAATGGTCCTATTGTCTTACTCTGAATTAGCCTGAGCAACCTGCAGATAATAAGTGTCCTTCACCTGAGCCTCTTCATGCCTGACTGCGTGCTAAAGAAAATTGCCACACAACAAGATGAGCCAGATAAAAGCATACGACAATGGAAAAGTCAGGTGCTTTTCACAAGTCACAGCTCCAGACTCATTAGCGCTAAAATCGCTAGATAATTGCCTTGTTGGCAGCAATGATCCCTTTTCTTCTCATTAAATTTCTTTTTTTTCTGAAATGTCAATACAGAAGTGAGAAGACAGTTCCAATCATGCAGAAATTGAAAGACAGCACCTGGTTGTTATTTTTACACAAAGTAAAGAATATATGTCAGAGAAGACTGGTGATTTCACAGAACTTCATCTGATTAATTAAACATCTGATGTTAGACAGTGTGTTTTCAAAGCCAGACGTGTTATTTCACATAGATTCTGGTGGTTCTTAGATGTCTGAGCCCTGGTATTTGGAGTTTGAGCCTGCAGTGGAGGCAGGGTACAGGCTCTTAATCATGGAAAGGGATGAAAGTGTCCCGCACATGTCTGCCTCCCTGTGGGACGCCTGCCTTTGAAGGCTTTAACAGCTCCCAGAAACAGAAACCGACAGTTTCTCAGTGTTTACTCAATCTCAGATTTCCCCTAAGGAGAGGAGAGTCAAAAATATCTCATATCTAAATGATCCTCCTTTCTATCTTTGGCAAAATAGAATCTGTCCTATGTAAAGAGCTCCACCTCTACAGACATCAGTGATATTTAATGCTTGTCACACTGCAGCATAATAATCAATTTGGTCTGAATGAGTTTCAATTTCTCTGACAACCTTGAATGCATATTTAAGTGGATTTTTTTTCCTTCACAGTATGAATTCAAACTGAAGAACATAAAGAAAAAGAAGGTCAACATTGTCGTTTCCACTGATTTTGTCAAGGTTATTTTGCGCAAAAAGAGGAAGGTAAGTCCTTTTACGTCAATTATTTTTACTAAATCTTTTGGCTTTTTTGCTTTTACACTTCTGTCACTTTCAACCCATGTGTTTTTGTGTGGTTACAGAGAAAAGGCTGGTCGTGGGATGACAATACAATCTTGGTGACACAAGATCCCATTTACAGGTAGGGCCTCTTGCTGGAATTCAATCCAACACTGGAAAATGGTAAAAAAAAAAAAAAAAAAAAAAAAAACTTCCCAAAGCTCAGTTGACTGAACATTATGTTGTCTTCATTTCAACAGGATCTTCTATGTCTCACATGATGCCCAGGACCTGAAGATCTTCAGCTACATAGCGAGAGAGGGACAGAGCAACATTTTCCGTTGCAATGTTTTCAAGTCAAAGAGAAAAGTAGGTTTTATCCCTGCGGACATTAAATGCTCTAAATTAACTCTGGCTATATATCATATTTTTGTTTTTCTTCTTAAATTAAATTTAAAAAAAAGACAAAAACAGTAAATTGATTGATAAGCATCAGTATTTTTAAGTCAAATAACCAATGAGCCTAAAACGGTTTTCCTCTGTGTCATTGTTTTAAGAACACATTAATGTGTGCTGTGTATGTGTCTTCATTATGATATGGACGCTGGTAAACTTAAGAGTCAATCCCACAAACACAACAGCTGTTTGAGTAACATTTTCTAATAACTAAGTACGACAGTGATAGACGATGCAAAGTATGAAGAGACAAACAAGTTGTTTGTAGGGCATTAAACAAATGTTGCCAACATTAATAAAGCCAGAATATCCCCAGCTATTTCTCTAAGTAGACTGCAAACAATTATGAACCCGCAGACAGTCAATCATTGCTTACAGCTCCATGCTCTTTCAAAGCTTCTAATGATGTCATTATGCCAATTCTCTATGTGACTTAGATCCCTGTTGGACCTCAAATAGGACTAATTAATGGGAGAGTCAGAGCCGTTGTCTGTGTTGTGGTAAAATTCTCCAATTTCCAAATATCTGCATATAAAGCAGAGAGCATTTCTTCCTCCATGACAAAGACAGAGCATCCGTGAGGTTGACTCCCATCCCTTCACCATGGAGACCAGACTGACGGTGACTTAGTGAAGCTGAATACTAATCATCGTGTCGGGGACGTGAAAAGAAGAGGGGCTTTTTCACTCAGCACTTAAAAGACATTTTTGCCACAGCAAAATGAACACCCACCATGTTTTCAGTGACACGGCCAGTGGTGCCTCAGTCTGTCCCCGAGGCCGCAGAACCTTATCAGGACAGTGCAGACGAGGCACGTGTGCTGAGTAGGAGGAGATGGATCAGCTGATAAAGAGATTTGATTTATTTTCATCTTAGCATGTTGCAGCTCAGCAGGGCTAAGATGTCAGCTCAGTATGACAAAAAAGCTTTTTGAGTTTGACCTAAAAAAGGGAAATTACATCTCGGTGTTGAATGATCCATTACAAAAATGTGTTCCTGCATGTTTCCTTTACTTTATCACTTGATTCAACTACTTTGAAGCTGCCAGAGGCAGATGACAAGAGATTTCTTTCAACACTGCCTCTGGCACTACTCACTACGGAAAGCATTTTTTTAAATTCTCCTATAGTACGGTAAGATTAAAGAGGACATGGTGGATAAAGTGTAATTCCACGGGATCATTCAGGATGTTGCCACTGGACTGTGTAGTATGGCTTTAGCGAGGGGGGAAAAATCCTCCAATCGATAAAGGAAACTGCTTCTGTCTCAAACACAGAGTTTCCTTTCCCCATGTTGTTAAGATAAAATGCTGAAACCCACATTTAATTGGTTTCAGACCAATCAATTAAGCACAACAACACAATAGATTAAACAAGGCCTTGCCTCGGTTTTATAAACAAATAATAAAGGTTAACAGAGAAATAAAGTGTGCAAAATATGGTCCACATGACCAATACACAGATTATTATTTGTTTTTTGGATTAGATAAAAAAAAATATTGATTGATAGCATACAATGGCATTCAAAATAGTTACAGAGCAGCTAGCCTAACACTGTCTTAAACTTGAAAAAGGTTAGCAGATGACACCAAACAAACTCTTGTCCAAGGTTCTGAAAAAACAATGTTTTGTCACAACCCTTTAACGTCTCATTTAAACTATGTACACAGATACAAGGAAGCATTTGCTAAATGTCCAAATCTACGTAAGTGCATCTGTTGTCTTCCTTTCTAACATGGTGAACATGGAATGGTCTGTTTGGTTACATTTTGGTAAAACATTACAGGATTGGTTCACATTGTAACTGAAAGTTCAATTTTGGAATCAAAAGTGAATTGACCACAATTCAAAGCAAAATTGTACTACTTTCTCTACTACGTAATAACAGCAATTCTTCCCTGTGTCTATTATTTTCACTGATTTTAGTACATATTTGTGATGTGCTTACAGTAGAAGCTCTGTGGGTCTCATTTGCTGTGTATGAGATGACAGGGGTCCTGATAAACACTCAATATTTTGGCTATTTGGTCATGAGAACAGCCTGGAGAACCACATTGTTTAACTGAACACTGAATAGATTAACAAAAAATAAAGCCAGGTTAGCTGTTACTAGGCATTATGTTTCTTATGGTTGCTGCATATTCAGCGAACAGACATGAGATATCAGTCTCTTCATGGGCACCCTAGATGATGCATTTCTTAAAACATTTCCTTTAATATAAGTGAAGGTTTTTTTCCTAGTTTCTCTTTATTTCTTACATACTGTGCATGAGTGACCCTTACTTTTAAGTAACTATGTCATTGTGATGCATCAAGGTGTTGGTGACTCGTTAAATGAACGCGATATCTTAAATCCTAGATGCATAATAGGATTCAATCTCTAAAGAAACAATGTGTCCGACAGACTGAACACGTGCATGTCATAATCCTGTGACAAAATAGTGACTTTGACTGACCTCAGTAGCTTATATTTGTATCATTTTTTATTAATGCTAATGAAACTGTCCCTGCTTGATGACCTGATAATAATGCTGACACACCAGCTGAGCCTCCTGCAATCACAACAAACTTTATATCACCCTCTCTGCCATCAAAGTTACTCGCCTCTGAAATTGACCAATCCATCAGTATGACAGCGAAATGTATGCAGAGCAGATAGACAAGGACACCAAGCTCTGTGCTCGTAATATTGTCTGACTTTTATTGGTCTCTGTCTCCCCGCCTTTTCCTGATACTAGTGTGAATATTTCCCATCATATTCTTCTTAACCTGTGCACAAATACACACCAACAATCTCTCCTTCATCTATCCATCGTTCTCCCACTGGCACCTTATTTGTTCCCCTGCTGTGTCTCCTCATTTTTGCATCCTTCCTTACCGTGCTCCTGCTTCTGCTTCCCTCACCACCAGCTCTCATAACCACAAAACACACACACACAAACACACTTTTTAACTACTATAATGTACTCCTTATAGTCACAGGCCATGAGGATCGTGCGGACAGTGGGTCAGGCATTTGATGTTTGTCACCAGCTAACCCTGCAGCAGAAAAGCGACGACCAGGAGGATGAGGAGGGGAAAGCAGAGGAGTCAGAGGCAGTGCCAGGTGACCTACACACACATGCATACCTACACATTCAAAATAAAACACACAAATCCTGTCTGTCCTCCCCCCTGCCCCTGTGTCTGCCCTTCCTGCACCCCTTCTGTCACACACACATAATCTTCTTTCTTCCCCTCAAACAGCGACAACAAAATCTTGCCTCGTCCTCTCTCATTTTGTTTTCTCTCTCACAAACAGAAATGTCTTCAGTAACAAACATAAGCAACTGAGCACAGCTCTCCGAGAAAATGTCATTATCCACCATCACGTTTTTTTTTTTGCAGCTTACCAGGCTGCAGCTGCAGATGTGTTTCGGCTTGAGCCATTAATCAAATATGTTGTGGACTTGTGCCAGCTCTTTGCCTGCTGCTGCTGCTGTCACTGCCTCAAATATGCTGCAAACTATGATGCTCAAAGTGAAAACTGCATGAAAATTCCTATTTATCTGGTCTCTCTGCAGCAAAGAAAAGGTTTGCATTGTCAGAGGAGACTGACCTTGAAGCCACTACAGAGGAGAGCATAGAGTGCGTCTCTTCATCAGATCCAGAGAAGAGCAAAAAAGATGAGGCCATTCGTATACATCGTAAGGTAGAGTATATAAAATGTCCTTGAACATTTCAGTGACGCTCATGCAGTGCTGTCAGAAACACAGATGGGTTGTAAAGTCTGCAGAGAGGAAGCAACCACTGCGAAGTGTAATTTATGGATGCCTGTGGCTTCAATGTGTAATATACTGCATCTAAAAGATAGGGCTACAACCGCTACATTTTTGCTGTCATGTAAATGTCTTCCTTATTAATCAATTCATAATTTGTCTTGAAATATACTTGTTTATGATGTTTTATGCTTTCTAGTGATGAAAGCAGGTGCAACAGGTTTTTGTAACAACAAAGAATAACAAAAAATATTGCAACAGTAAGTGCTTAAATATTCCTGGGTACATAACTTGGTGTACATGTATGGAAACTAAAATTAAAACTGACAGTCACCACAGAAAGCAAAGTGTATTAACAAAATACTAAACTGTGAGCAGAAACGTCACGGTAAGTAGTTCTTGAGTTACTATGGAAACAGCATGACACAGCTCTTGCGAACTAGCAACTTTTTGAGCTTTCGCTAATGTTGACCCGAGGCACACAGGACACAGCACATGTCACAAGTAGCTTTCTTTACGCTCACTTACAGTTTTAATGGAGCTCTGTACATCGTCAGCAGTATCACACACTGCCTCGGGTCTAAATTAAAAATAAAGCGTTTCTTAATTGGCAATATAACACAACCAACACATGGACCGAATAGTTTCGCAACAAAAAGTTATTGCAATATGAGACAATTATACATAATACGTCAGCTTTAGTGTCCGAACCAACCAAACAATCAACAAACTAACCTAAGGCAAGGTAAGGTATGGTAATCTTTTCTACTTAAAATGACTGGGATATATTGCTTATTAATTACAGTCTATGGGATATTGCTTCACATTTTTATGGGCAGATATTTATGACAGAAAGTCTGCTGTTCAAACAAACTGGGGTTGATAAGTTTGACTCAGTTTTGGAAACGATGGGGACATATTGCATTATGGGAAATGTAGGATAAAGTAGTGATCTTATCCAAGGGCTTAAAAGTAAGGAACATTCTGGAGATTTTAGACTCTGCTGAAACTTTAAAAAACTTTAAATAAATTAAGTGTTTATAAAACTTTTTCATAAAAAAAAGATTTAAATAAATCTTCCAAATGAGCTCCTTAAGTTCCCTCTTTTTACTGCAACAAGAAATAAACATGTGCTCGGCCCACCTTAGGTCATTTCCTCAGAAGAAAAATCTGAATATAAACAGGACATACTTTGGCAAAGCAAGTTTTCCATTAAAAACTTAAAAATGCCCTGTGATTTTTTTATTTTGCTGCTCCTAGCTCAGGGTTATGATGAAAGTTTGGCATGTAGTCTTGTGAAGATCAGAAAAAATACAGCAAGCAGTCATGTCTTCAAGGCTTGTTTGTGCAGAAAATGTTCCAGGAACCTCTTCAATATTGATGTGATCATGGTTTATTAATGAAAACATATCTAGGTTCTCTGTGCTCTACTAATCCTGAGATGTCGAACAAGCAGCTATCTAATATTTGTTAGTTTAGTCTCTGTGATACTCTGTCAGCTGACTCAAGATAACATGTGCTGTACCAACAAATGTTGGTTTGGAGGATATTAAATCAAATCACATGGTTACCTGAAAAATAAAAATAAATATGCTGTCTGATTTCACATGTTCAGATGGCCCACCACAATTTCCCCCTCCCTCTTATGTATTTGATTTCAAGGTCAAGTGTCCTTCAAAGACCTGTTTTAATGAAAATGGAGTACAACATATTGATCGCCCATCTCAGACATGACAGATAACTTATGTCCTTCATGGCTGCTCCTCTCTCAGCAGTGCTCTAACATAATTGTGAGGGTCATAATTCTTGATGGTGGAACCATCTAGAATAGCAGCTCGTCTGGTGGCTCTGTAGATCTATTTAAAGATACTATAGACTGAACTCCCATTAAAGCACCATTCTTACAATTAGATTAACTGATGCTGCTTTGTGTTTTGTAGTCAGCCAGAGATTCCCTACTACATAACTAGAGTATACTGTCCATTTTGGCAGATTTGACATGCTTGTGTTGTGAATCCAAGTGCCAACTTCAACTAAAAAAAGTGAAGTCCAATTTTAAAATACAACTTTCATTCATCTCAACTAACTTCAAAACGGCTTTCATCCAAAAAATTACATTTACAAAGGATCAAGTAATGGGTTAGTAAGTGTAGTAAGTAAGTGGGCTTATAACCACTTTTTTAAAGAAGTTGCCTAAAATGACAAACCCTATCCAACATTCTTGCATATCTATTAAGTTTTAGCATCTTTACATTCACTTATTTGATTTTAAGAGGCCCAGTTTCACTCATTTGATTGATTCTCATCACTTTCATAGAGTTGTTTTTGGCAAAGAAAAAAATAATGTGTCCTGCTAATGATTAAAGAGCAAACTAGTAAAGTTTGCAAACATTAAAATAACTTTATCTGTTATCCGAGCTGGAGACGTAATCACAGCCAAAAGTAAACGCATGTCCAACAACCAACTGAACTGAAAACCACATGACTGCTTATGTAGCTAAATAAGGCAAAGGCTTTTAAATTCCCATTGCCAACACTCAGTTGTATTGTGGGTTTTTGTTTGTATCATGTGAAATTACTGAAAGATATTTCCATCTTCAGCCTGTACCATGCTGAAGAACAGAGGCCTATGTTTCAGTTCATTTTGTGCTACGGTATCAGCTAATTAAACTCAAACACCAAACACCAAGCTCCTAGCTCTTTCTCTCTTCATTTATCACACAGCTCACCTGCTTCATGTGGAAATCTGTCTCAGATGCAGGAGGCAATGCAAGGTCCTACATCAACAGCAGCCTCAGTAGAGCACCGCCAGTGTCTTTATTGATCTGCCTTTGATGTGAAATAAAACACACACCTTTTTTATTTTTAGTTATACTTCACATGGCGGAAGTAGCATTGATCTCCGTTCCCCTCTTATAAGAACCTCTATACACATCAGCCTTTCTATACCTGTACTACATTCAGCACAAAGAAACACCCCTGTATTTTTGGAAACGTTTCAAATCAAATAACTTTAAAAAGTCATGTTGCATAATGTTGCTAAACACAGGAGTTGGTAGATACAAATGATTTAACGCTTCATCACAAATCTTTATTGGTTATGATTCTGGATTTTTTCATCAGAATAAAAGGATACAGTCCCCTATAATGTTTCTTTGCTCTGCCCAAGGAGCTTAGACTGGCAGAGAGCGACCTGATGCTTTTCTTTACACTTTACTATTTTTTATTTCCCCTACCCTAACTCTTAAATTTATCATCTACAAAGTCCATCCATGGCAAGGTGTTCCCCAACACTGACTTAATTTATGGTATCTCCCCAGAAGTAATATGCTAAATGTCTTTCTTTTTAATTTTTGAGCTTTGCTGCCAAGAGCAGTGGAGCTTTTTCACTTCACATGTCAAAGATAATATAGTAATCTAGGCCCATGTGTTTTGTTTATCCCTGGTATTCTTTGAGTTTCTTGGTGGTAATCGTATGATTATGTGATCATTTGGTACAATGAACACTGTAGGAAACAGATGTTAGAAGGGATAGAAATGGCTTTCCTTTCTCATAACATCAACTTTTTGATGCTGTACAAGAAGTAAAGCTTAATTTACTGTCCTTTCTGCTCTAGGTGTCCAGTGACCCATCCCTCCTGCTGAGCTCTCCCCTCCCCGGGGCCTCTGTGTCGGGTCAGTCTGCAGCAGAAGCTCCCCTCTCTGAAGAGCACCAAGTCCAGCTCCTTAAGAAACAACTGCAGCAGCAGGAACAACAGGCACTGGCAGCTTCAGCACAGGTACTGTTGGCATGTTTTAAAATTCCATAGTTTTCACTAAAGTAGATACAAATAACAATATATCTTTTTTTTCTTAACAAAACCAAAAAGACATGGATGTCAACTTCCTGCTCATTTCTGTGATCACAATGAAGCCTTTAGCAATTTTCTGTCCATGGCAATCATTTCTGGAAGGTGAAAATAATGGCGCTTTCACTTTAAGTTTCACTTTATTCAGACAATATGTTACTCTATATTTCTGACCCTTAATGAGTTTTTCCTGTTGTTCTCAACTCCAGAAAAACTTGAATGGATAACCATATTGCAGCCAGGGATTGCTTATTAATTGATATCTTGACATTTAACTTGTGCTTGAGAAAAAAAAAAAGAAGTTGGTGACAGGGTCATACACTGACTTTTTCCAACGACATTTCCCACTTCTCCTATCCTTTCTAAAAGAGGATATTGGTTGTTTGGATGTGTTAACCTTATCAGTGGCAGGTGGAATTACCTCAGGCTTCTTTACATCCTTAAGTGTATATCAATCTTCTTGAATAAAGCATTCTTCGTCTACCTAGAAAGAAAGCTTACTTCTCTTTGTGGAAAATATAAAGTCCACAAAAAGCTAAACATCCCCAGGGTCCTTGTCAGCATGGTGGGCTTAGACTGCCAAACTTAGTTCTACTATTGGTCAGCAAATCTGAAAAATTTCCAATTGGATGGAAATCATAAGAAGCAGCTGTAACTGACAGATTGATAACAAAGAGAAAGTCATGCAAGAATACTTTATTTCACAATGCTTTATTATGCTGTAGCTTTCACAGCTTGTTGCCAAATGTTTTTTATTTTTGTAAAGTATGGCAACAACTCAGACAACCCTTTGAGATCTGGTTAATATAAATTGCTGTTGTAAAGAAATAAGCAGCTCTGCCTTCTTTAAACAGATGAGCGTTCAGTTGAGCATTCAGTGCTTGGCTCAATCATATATGTTCTTCAACAGCTTATTTTTATATTTTAAGTTGTTTGTTCAGAGTTTCAATAACTCCTTCAGACACTTCTTCAGATACTCACAAATTTGAAGTTTCTTCAAGATATGACTCGATTCGTCTCACAGCTTCCTGCCAACTACACTCAATCTATAACATAACATCCCCCAGCAGGGGAAATATAGGTGACATACACCCTTTACTGATGAGAGAAACTGTGACAAGTCTTATGACGTTTAAAGGGCAGTGGGAGGGAGACCGAAGGGAACAGAAATTCAGAGTTCCTTTGGTCGAAGATGAAAGGGGAAAATATATTCATATATTCAAAACGACCTATCCTAAATTCACTGTTTATGTATATATGCATGTAAAATAGATCAACAAGCCTAAATGTGCAACTAGTCTGTAATTTACAGGCTATGCTGCTTTCTATTTACTCTGTATATCTCTTCTAAGGACACAGTCAAACCGACTGACTTTGGCTACGGCAAGCTTAAGAAATAGGATGTATTGTCTCTGACCAGATAAGTGCTGAAGCTGATTTTCCTCACAGTCAGTTTCACTTCATTGAGCTGTGTCAACATTGAATGTAACTTAGACGCAGTACAATCAGCTCCTATTGTTTCCCTTTGGGGTTTTGCTGATTGACATAGTCACACAATGGAAGTTAAAAACTCAAGAGTGAGAGCTGCCATTGTGTTAACATTGAGAATAATGGAGCGCTGTCTGCGTGCAAAAAGTCTACATGCATGCTAGCTACTCTATCTGGCTGAGTATTTCCAATGTTACCCTGCTTACATGCTTATTGTGACAATACTACATTTCAGAAAGACTCTTATAGACTTGATTTCATATGATATAGTGTTGTCTTCTTTAATTTTTCAACTTGAAGTAATCTTTTTATGATTTTTTTTATCCTTATTTTTTTTTTTCTGGGGGATTTTTCCCTTTAAATACTTTTTCCGCCTGTTGTTTTTACTCTTTTTTACTCTGTGTCATCACCGCTATGTTTTCAAATCTGTAGTTATCCTCCCGTGCCCTCGTATTGTCTCGCTGTATTGGGCCATGTTTTGGTTCTGCTGTGTTACATATCTTTTTTTTTTGAGTTATTAAATTCCATAAGTGGTGATGAAAGCTGCTTTAATGCTTACTAAATTCAACATATTAGCATGCTAATAATTTGTAATCAGCGTAAACTGCAATGAACAGTTGAAGCTAAATCTACCCATCTATCCATCTATTTTTTGTTGAGACTATTTGGTTGAGTTTGAGGAAAATGATCGAAGCAGAGGGATTCACTGTTCAAATGTCTGTAACAGCAATCCATCATCTAGGTGCTGGAAAGCGAGTTTATAGCAAAAACAGCTACCATTAGATTAGATTCCATTTGTGTGACGGTTAAATGTAAGACGATAGCTTAAGTGGTTTTAAAATCCTCGTCAAAATCAGTTTATAGGATTAAATACACCTCATGAAACACATATCAGGCAAATCGCAAATTTTCATTTTGAATCAGTGGTGTGTTGATGAGGATGTGGTGACCAGTTTGAGCTTATTAAATTCTCACCTCTTTTATTCCTCTAAACTTTTATATAAAAAAAAGTTTCCTCAGTGAGATATGCCTTAGGCAAAGATTCAAGACCTTTGATCATGTAGGGGAAACTTCTTTCTTTGTGCTCTCAGCTCACTTTGACCAATCTCATTGACAGAATCAGATTGTAAATGCTGACGCGCCATCAAATCAGATCTTGGTGGTAATTCATTAAGGTGTTGCCTCACAGACGGTGTTTTAATTAAGAGCAGCCTTTTACTGGTCTTGGTTTTTCATTTTGGTGTCTGACTTCCACTCTGTGTGTGTGTTGATCCCTTCAGGTCCATGTACTGCAGGAGCAGCTGTCAGTAGAGGTGTGTGCACGGACTGAAGCTCAGGCCAGAGTGCAGAGGCTCCTGCAGCAGAACACAGACCTGCTGCAGCACATTTCCCTGCTGGTTAAACAGATCCAGGAGCTGGAGCTCAAATCTGCTGGACAGTTAACATCCAGTGAGTGTAAAACCTGCTGTTTTCTTACTGAACTATTCAGCTTTCCATCTCATTTTTGTGTTTTATTTTGTTTTGTTGTTTATTTATTTGTTTTATTTTCTGCTAGTGTCCATCATCCAATTTCCTTTCATCTCTTTTGCCTTTATTCCTTTCTTTTAAACTGCTTCCTGTCGTTATGGCTCCTTTTCTCATCCATTTCTGGCAAGCAATTTGTTATCCCATGGCAGCCCTCTCACAGGATTCAGTTTGCTCTCTGCCCACCTCTACCCCCCCCAGCTTCCTGCTTTTAGCCACTGGCAATGTGCTGCCATAAAGTCATGAATTATCAAATCCTGTCAGCACAGCCTTCGCCCAACTCCATTTAATCTTCAATGCTCTCCTCAAAACCCTCTTTTCCAGGCTCCATTGTCTCAGTTTTTTTTTTTATAAACGATGTGATGGCTACCAATGTAATCGTACACGTCCTTTTTAAAAATTCTCTGTGTTCATAGTGGGCTCCCAGGACAGTCTGCTGGAGATCACTTTCCGATCCAAACCGCCCAGTGCAGCCTGTGACACCCTCACCTCTTCTTCATCATCGGGTGCTTTAGCAGCTCAGTCCCTGCTCCAGATCAGCGACAGCACCTGGGTCTCTGGCCTCCCAGGACTCTGCTCTCCAGGGACCACAGGCACTGCCACCAGCCCTCTGGAATTAAGCGGCAGTGGAGTTCGATTCGAGTGTTTCCGCTTCTCCTCCCGGGGGACGGACAGCCAGGATACGAGCCAGGACACGGGGGAGACTCCCAGCGACGGTCCCGCGGATGAGAACTCGCTGCTTGGGGAGCAGGTCCTGGGAGCCCTGGAGCTGCTCCGGTTCAGGGAGTCGGGGATCGGATCAGAGTACGAATCAAACACTGATGAGAGTGATGACCGGGACAGCTGGGGGCAGGGGGAGGGGGCGGGGGCTGATGGTGCAGCTCGACTGTTTAATGTGCTGAATGCAGAGATTCTGTCAGACTGCTTAGGGGATGAGATGGCTGTGTAGTGGTGCTAATAAAGCTACAGATGCAGCATTGAATTTATGCACCAGCCCAATGGGAAAGAGGTGACGTTCATAGGACTTTATTTCACATGCATTGTGACAACAATTAGCCACATTGTCTGCTGGTATGAATTATTTGTAGCTTTTTTTTTTGACAGAGTTCTCAATGTTAAGCTTTTAGTTTTGTTGTGCGGCTCCCTGTTCACAGCAAACATTACTCACTTCTATAAAGGCAGAAGATGGTTTGAGACTTAAAAAAGAAAAAAATAATGTATACGTGAGCCAACCAATATGATCACAATGTTTAAATTAACTTGGACACAGAATTCAAGAAAACATAAAAAACTAATTTTATTCATTTTCCTCTGTATGGGATTTTCCTCTTATCCTTTATCACAACTAGCCAGCATACTGTAATGCCAAATTCTGATAAACAATATAAACTAAATAATTATTATATTATTAACTGCCTTTTTCAGCCACTATTAGCCACAACAATGTTAAACAAAGCTTGCTCTTGTTTCATATGAATTCAAATATTCCTAAAAAAGAATAAATTAAATATGAAAGCAATGCTAACAGCTTCTTGGTGCTAGATGCCTACGTCAACATGCTAAGATGCTTTGTAATGGTTACCATGTTCAGTTTCATACAGTAGCTCAGTGTGTTGATATGCTAATTTGACTAATTAGCATTAAAAGTATGCTTGATGGTTTAACAGAAATTTGGTGCTAAACTAAAAGTTTGAGACATGTAAAAAAACGTTTGACCTGAGAGCAAGTTCTCTGTATTTCAGACGAAGAAAAAAAACATTATTTTATTTTTTTTACTCAATTGGAAATTGCAAATACACCCCAAAAAGAGCAGGTATACTTATACTAATGTGACACAGTATTTTTCAAACCCTGGACTGTCTGATAGTACAAACACTTTGAGGCTCTGTCCGATCTCTGCTGTCTGTAGGTATGTGTGTTACAATCTGTGTGTGTAATGATTGTTGTACCTTGGTGCAATCACCACTCACTGGGCTTGTTACACTGTGCTTGTATCTTTGTTTATGGATTTGTGACACATTGGGCATGGACATGGTCATTTGTTGCTGTTTTCTATTGAAAATCTCTGAAGTCTGGATATGCTTACACATATTTTGGAGTGTGAAAAATAATAGTTTAATGTGCTTGTTATGACAGCTGATCTGAAATTACACATGGGTTTAAAAACCGACCTGTATCTTTTTATTTTTGTTATCTTTTCACATCATTGTTTATTGTTTGATAAACATTAAACATAGACGAGTCAGTTCATGATATTCTTTAACCTGGTCCTGATGCTGTTAATCAATGAAACATCTAACTGGTTGCAGGTTGTGCTACAGTGTGCTTTATAAAAATGTAGCCCCCAGGAATTGACAGTTGATTTATTAATGCTGTACTGTGGCACCAGCAAAATGCTGTGTTACTGTTGTACCTCCCTTCAGATGATTTTTTCCGAAAGTCTGAAATCAGACTAAGATGGTGGTCTATAAAACTTCTAGACAAACTTCATATTCTTCTGGCCGGCTGTCGCTCGAGCTCCACCTTACTGACAGAAAGCCAGCACTTTGAATCACTGAACCTGGGACGTGTCTTTGAACTCTTTCCAAAATCGATAAATCTCTTCCTGGCCTTCCTCTCTACCTCTTTCTCTCACTCCCCCACCTCCCTCCCCTCTTGTCCCTGAAGTCTGTCAACTCTTTCTCAGTGTATTCACACTCACAAGCTGTCTGCTGCATCCGTTTATCCACATCTTTCTATTAGTCTTCTGTGGCATTTACCTCCAAAGGTATGTCTGTTGTTAACACAGGGTCTAATTAGATCAATGTTTCCTCTTCATGCCTTTTCTGAAATTATTTCTGGTGTTATGATGCTTTCAGTAAATTTGGTGACTTACAAATTCCTGAGATGAACCTGTCCTTGATATAAAAAGAAATATTTCTCTTATAGGGCTGACATTTTCAAAATGTGTTTCTTGTAACTGTTTATAATTGGTTGAAAAACTGGGGTGTAAGCCTGCATGCTTGTTGTTAGCGAGGGTGACGGCGCTTAGAAATTCACCAGCTCTGGTCATTAAACAGGGTCATCCCCCCATAAAGCTCACTTTGTGTGCAGCCAGCAGCAGCTTAAAGTAACACTGCAGATAAGCTGGAAAATATAAAGAATATCAGTGATTACCCGCCTACAGCCAACCACGATATCCTGCAGCTCCATAAGTGCAGCTGCTGCTGACACAGATAGTGGGCGGCCTTCAGGAGGTGGCCTCTACTTTCATTTGTGTGATAATAATGAAAAATGGTCTCTAAGGTCAATATCCTCACACCCTCATGAATTATGGAGGTAAAATGAATTCAGAAACATTGTTTAGCTGTACATAACCTTTATCCCTTTGTTCAGTCTTCATAGTCAGTCCAGCACTGTCGCTCTAGAATGCTAATTTAGACAAACTCGTCAGTCAACACTGAACAATCTCTACAACAATTAGATGGATTGCCATTCAATTTTCCACCAACGTTTATCATTTCTGAATGTACACCCTGGTAACTTTGATCATCATCCTCTTGCTGTTCAACTAACATTGCCAGCTAGAATGGAATAAATGTTTTTTTTCCCAAAATATCATAATAACAATCACGGGAACAGTCTGGATGATATACAGTTTAACCTCCTGCAGATGTCTGTGAACCACAAGCTTCTGTCTCCATGAGAACCTGAGGTAGGCAGCAGAATACATAATGACTCATTATGAATCTTTTGGTCTCTCTCTCTCGTTTCAAAAATAGTTGATACTCTGAGCCTGGAAGAGTATTAATGGAAGAATGAAATCTCTATACTCTACCATTGAAGAAACCTCTTCACAATTTTAGGAAAAGAAACCATTGGTTCTTTTTCTTGTCCAGAGGTAAGTGGGCAGATACCTCCTTAATCTTTATACTGTATTTAGCTTAGCCTAAAGACTTTAAACAGAAAGAAACAGCTAGACTTGTGTTATTAAAATCTGAATATTGATACTCAAGTACACTAAAAAGGAAACTATATCAGTTTCATTAGTATAACAAAGCCACAGCAGACAGCCAGCAAGTCCAAAAGTAAAACATCTGACTACCAGTGAGCAGTTAGATTAGCCTAACATAAAGGAAGGGACCAAATGATACAGCTAGACTTATGTGTCCAAATATAACAAGTTTTGACTACGATGTACTCATGTATGCAAAATATGAAGCCACATCTAGCAAACTGTTAGCTTAGCCTCGCATAAAGACTGAAACAATGGGAGAAAACTATCCTGACTCTGTCCAAATGTAATCCTTGTAAATACTGATTTTGCTCCTGTGTGTAAAATATTAAGTTAAACTTAGCAAAGTGTTAGCTTAGCATTAAGCCTGAAAGCAGAAAGAAACAGCTAGACTACATTCGTACAATCTAAATCTAAATGACTATTGGAAAAAAAAGGAAAAGCAGTTCGGAGCTGTGTCTCTATAATGTTACAAATTTTCCGTAGTGACCTAATAATTATGAAACAACTTACTGTAAAGTCAGTGTAGCCTTGCATGAGGTCTGGAGACACAGGCTAGCCCTGCCAAGCTACTGCTACAGTGCTGAGCTTAGAGCAGCATCTGGGCTGTCTTTCTGCTAATTTTAGCTCACCAGCTAACTGACCTACTTTAGCTTCTTAATTAGCATACAGATCTGAAGAGATACTGATCATACAAGTCTGCAACAGGAAGCTTACAGGCGTGTATATCTCAAATTATCAAACTATTATTCAAATTAGCATGAGCCGAGATATAGGGAGATGTTTCATTAGATAAAGGCGAGAGATGTTATTTGTAATGATGATTAGCAGTTGGCAACCCAGAGTCTGATCAAATGAAAATCATTGTGCTTTAATGAGAAATGTGTTGCTTTGGATGTAGAAGTAAAAGTAATCGCTTATCTTATTTATTTAGTCTTTCTGTTTCTTTCCTGTTTCGTGTTGCTGCACCAGCAGTTTCAGAGGACTGTGAGGAGAAAATAAAACTTTTTCATTATTGAAGGCATGTTGTGTTCATTTCATTCCAGTTTCATTGTCATGCCCATAAGTAAGGCGTAGCACTGGAAACACAATTTGATCTGAATTTGTAAACATCTATGCATTGTTAGTGTTGTGTGTGGGATGAAAGAGAAAGTTAGCAGACAGATGAGCTTTTCAATGTGTCCAAGCTGTTGTGATTCACATATTATGTACGATAATATCGACAAGCTTCATCATCTTCTCTGCTGTTATAACTATGTTTTTAATGCCAGGAGTTACTCTTCAAATCAGGTCTTCTCCTTCAGTAATTATCAGGTTCTCCTCGGCTGGAAAATGAAGTCCAGTCTGTGTGTTTTTCAGAAGCTCTTGGTGGAAGCAGCCAGATTCTGCTGCACTCAGCTGACTCTCTGGGCCGTAATTGAAACCATTTGTGGATCAGGTGGAATTCTGGGACTTCTTGGCTTCACCTCAAACTCCCAAAGTGTGTTATTTTCTCTGTTTCTTTCCTCCGGCCAGAAAAAGTCTTACATCAGCCTTCATTTCCCCTCTCTCTCTCTCTCCCTCTCTCCCTCTCCCTCTCTCTTTTCCACTCCCTGAAAGTCCTCACAAGGAAGAGGTCAGTGACTCCAGTGCTGAATGCATTAACTCACAGAAGTAGATGTGGAATATTTCCTGAAACTGATGGTTTTATAATAACAAGAGAAGAACTTGCGAAAGTAAGTCAAATCCATATTTTTACTCATATGTGACTATTAAGCTTGGAGTGGAAACTGACTGTGAAGAAAGTTTGTGCTAACACAGCTCAGCTCGGTATAGAGAATATATCATACCGGAAAGTACATAACACAGAACTACATGAAGTATATGTATTTGTTTACATTAAGGTGAAAAGGGGCAGGATATCTGCACTTCATTTCATTTGTTTTTATTGAATCAGTAGCTCATATATACCCTTTTAGAAAAGTTATTCCACTCTTCATGATCTTCATGTCAGAGTGCCAGAATTGGAAACTCAAGTGAAGACTGTGTGACAGACACAGGTTTTGAAGATTAAATAACATTTTAACTTTTCTAAATTTGCATTTAGAAAGAAAGATAATTCCATACAAGTCTTCATTTCATACTGTAGCACTGGCACAGAATGGCATCATCACGGCATATCTCTGGTGAGCCGACCACGTGAACGATTTGGTGCAATTTCTGAACAGAAGTCGAAGGTGCTAGTCAAGTTTGTTAGAGTTTAACGTTGCTTAAACCTACACAGGACTTGTACTAAGATAAATAAATCCAAGTTCTGTGGAGGAGAGAGTAAGACCCTGGGCTACAAGGAGAACTGTGTGTGCTTTTACCAGCATGTGTCTCACCAAGGTTTAATGGATGCTGAACTCTGTACAACTACATGCAACATCCTGAAATATAACTGTTATCTATATAACTGAACTTTTTTCTTTTATGATAAATGTGTGTCCAACACTAACACCTTTAGTGTTGTGTAACCCTGCATTTGATTGATTAGTGTATGTTTATTTTGGTATGTATAATCTACATCTAAAGCACCAGATTTTCTGTAGTAAATGTGTTTGGTTCTTTGATTTATGACCTTCCTGAAACTTCCACCATCCAGGTGTGTCGAGAAGAGATGAAGGTCATGACACTTCATCCGATTACGAACCATGTCTATTTTTTCCTGCTGGCTGCGGCTGTCCGGTGTCAAGTCAACCCAGGTAAATTAGAGATTTCACTTTTGCATCCATGTCTCTAGCCAAGATAAGGTACTGGATAGATATCCTAATCCAAAAATAGGAATAGGTTGTTGCAGAGATAACAACAAAGGTTCAACCTGTTTCATGCACGTGTCATTTAGACAATGAATGCCATAATAAGATAATTTTTTGTTTTGTTTTTAATGTTTGATCAGTGAATGATGTCGAGCCGGTGTCATTCAAAAAAATGTAAAGACACTCTTTATATTTTTGAGGGATAAGCATGTTGACAACATAGAGAAGCAATTTTAGGTGGGTGGGCTTATAGCTCAAGAATGTAATGTGTGTGTATGTGTGAGAAAGTGAGGGAGAGTGTGTGTATGTGGTTTACCTAATGGTCAGACAGCAAATAACATCAGAACAGGCGAACCTTTCACAAGCAGGGGGCATTCATGGAAAAAAAAAAGTTTGAAAATTCGTAGGCGTAGCTGTAGGTAACACACACACACACACACACACACACACCTACACACACGCTCCCTCTCACACACATGCACTCATTTTACTTTTGAATATTTACACAGTAAAAGGGTTATTTGTTCTGACACTGTCTTTAAGAACATGTAGGCGTTCAGTGTGTACAAGTGAATAAAACACAGACGCCCCTTAATAACCGGGTAGCCATGTTTAGGATACACAAATTTCTATGCAAAAGTAAGATGTAGAGGTCAGTTTCCCAGTAATATGAACACTTAAATATAGCATTTGTTGATTTCAAATAGATTTTTAGTTGATTGAGTTATTAACCAGCAGGTTCTGGTGCTTTAAAACACAGAAATGTCTCTCACGTGTCTGCGGGAGAGATTGTGAAAAAGGACGAGCAAGCATCTCTGAGGCCACTCCCGCCTCGCTCTGCTTAGACTGGCACCCACACAGTGACACCTCTGTTTGGCATTAGGGGCCTGCAGGGCTGCAGGAAAGGGGACTGAGGGGTGGGGGGGGCTTACCACTTACGCTTCCTCACATCCTGCAAACACACGAAAAGGATCAAAACTACACGTGAGAAAATACAGGCGCACAGTAACACGTACTAAAACACATTAAAATGTACCTCAAAATGTGTGTGTCAGTGATGCCTTGTGTGTTTTGTAGAGATGTGTCGGTATCCTCTGGGTATGACTGGTGGGCAGATCAGGACGAGGACATCTCTGCATCCAGCCAGTGGTCTGAGTCAACTGCTGCAAGATTCGGCAGGCAGGTTTCAAGACACACATTTCTTTTTTATATATCTCAATTTAAGACATAAAGCTATTTTCACATATGCACTCCTGAAAATCTCTACGGTTTTCCAGACCGCCAGCCCCTAGAATCTTTCTGAGTTGCTTGTTTTATAGCAAGGAGGCTTAGATAGATAGATGTTCCAAGATGGTGCACGGGCAACAGAGTCCAGTGCTGTGATGAAAGTTTTTCCTTTTATATCTTTGCAACATGTAATTGGATATATTCACAGTATCCATGTAACAGTAAAACATTAGCATAATGATCATCAGAAAACAATATGAAGAAGTTTCAATATGTGCAAGAAGATCGCACCTGTCAATCATTGGTTGCGTGATCTAAATGTCATCAACCCACCCGCTTGCTCAGCGGGAGATTTCCTGAACATTTCCTGAACATTTCCTGCAGCATAGACACATCAGTTCACTCCAACTACTACATTCCAAAATTATTATGTCCACATATGCAGCTCCCCCTGAAACTTTGTGAAATGTATTTTCTTGCATGAGTGAATAGGGCTGTAAAATATGTCTTTTTTCATGTCCTGAGAGATGCACATGTTCAATGAACTTCAGTGAATTTGAATTCAAGATAGATTTTATACGGATAATCTATATGGTTCTTTCAACCTTCAATGGCCATTGCTATTTCTGCCAAATTCTGTTTTGATTTAATCCAACTGGTCACTACATGGTTGTGAAATACTGCCTAATTCTTAATGTTCCAAACAAGGGTTTTTAATTTTTTTAATTTGTATTATTATTCAGTAGCTGTTCTGGACATTAAAGAAACCACAAAATCTTCATCAGCTGGTGGAGTTTGCTCATGGGTCGTACAACTTAAAAACTTAAAAATGTTAACTTTTGTGACAACTGAGCCAACTCCATCTGCACAAGAAGATCAATGGATTTGGATTGGATTTTTTCAAAAGCTCCAGAGCAGCAACTCAATGGACCTTGAGAAGAGATTGTTTGAATCCCAGCATATGTAGAAGTTTATACTATACAATATGTGCAGCAGAAACATCGAGTAGTCAAAGATGCAAATTTAGATTTCCGATAGAGAAAAGATCATGCATGAGGGATACATTTACTTGCTCTCTGTTTCATGTCTTGTTAATTCTTCCTCCACTCGGCATGCCTTTGAACACTCTCACTCGCTCTTATCCATCTTTTCTCCCTCTCTCTGAACTCTCTGCCCTCCTCTCTTGTTTCTTCCTCCTCTACAGACTTGACCTGGATAACGGAGACGGTGATGGAGCTTGGTGTCCTGACATCATGTCAGAGCCAGACGGCCTCAAAGAGTTCCTTCAGGTGGACCTGCGCTCACTGCACTTCATTACCCTGGTGGGCACCCAGGGTCGCCATGCCGACGGGATGGGTAACGAGTTTGCCCAGAGATACAGGATCAAGTACAGCCGCGACGGCAGCAACTGGGTGGGCTGGCATGATAGGAAGGGAAGGCAGGTAAGTGTGTATAGATGTTATTGTGTGAAGGGGAGATACCTGCCAATGTGTACTAACATATGAACAAAATGATGCTCGGTATCCACTTTGCGAAAATACTTGAGCCCAAAACCTTTGGCATCCTGTAAGTACAATAACCCAAACCTCAAGACTTATTATTTATCTGATATTTGCTTGAAAATTGAAAAGCAACAACAACACAGGTACTGCCAAGATGTCAAATTAACTGGCTGTGATTAGCTGACACCTGACAGACAGCCAGCAGCATCCACCTGTCACTGAAAAACAACCTTCTCCTAATCTCCTAATGATATACAGTATAAATTTAAGCCTAAATACAATTTAATCTGATAATTAATGCAAGAATCAATCCTCTGTACTGTTTTCATGGTGTGGTAAATGAGCTAAAGGGACCTAAATGTTGTATTTCTTTCAGGTTGTGGACATGTTTATTTCTGCTGTTCAGTTTGGTATGTTAATACGTGTTAACACAGTATCTGATCTGAATCTTTTCCCCACCAATGCTCAGAGATGGCAGCAGATGGGATCAACAGATAACAGCAGATAATCTCCGATGTCATGGGTTAGATGAAAATTTCAGCAGAGCAAGAAGGAGATTAATTAGACCAGTTTTTTCTGGTTTTGTTAAAATGTAACTATTTGCCAATCCCATTTTTATGCAGCTTTAGTGCTGCAGCACACATTTTTTAATTTTGAAATACAGAAACATTGTTTCTAAACAGAAGAGTTTTTCTCCAAAGACTCAAAACATGAACAACATGCAAATAATTTTTTCATGGTTTGACTTTCAGCCCTGACACGTTTCACTCGCTCACTCATTTCTTCTTTGTGTGTTTTGTGTCTCCTCTGCCAGGTGATTGAGGGGAACAGGAATGCGTACGATGTGGTGCTGAAGGACCTGGAACCTCCAATCATTGCTCGATTTGTGCGCTTCATGCCTGTGACGGATCACTCCATGATCGTGTGCATGAGAGTGGAGCTCTACGGCTGTGAATGGCTCGGTCAGTATTTACATTACATTACAGATATTATATTTGTTTGTTTTTGTGGATTCATTTTTGTTACTTGCTGGTTAGTATTAGACTTTAGACATGCAAAACTTGTTCTTTTTTATGATCTTCTATAAGCATGCAGTGAATAAGTCCTGTCCTCTCTGCCCCTGCAGATGGCCTGATGTCTTATAGTATTCCAGATGGGCACCAAATGATCTACAGAGGCCTGGATGTCTACTTTAATGACTCTGTGTATGATGGAGCGTTGGCTGAAAGGTCTGCATTTTACTGCTTCTTAAAGAAGAAACATGAAGTCATATTTTGATCAATTGTGCGTGTGGTGTTTTTCTCTGAGCTCCTTAATAAATAGGATTTAAAATGCATGTCTTCATTTATATTTCCACTGTTCATCCCCTCCACTAGGCTGACAAAGGGCCTGGGCCAACTGACAGACGGTACCTGGGGATTGGATGATTTCCTCCACAGCCACATATACGGCATGTGGCCGGGCTACGACTTTGTGGGTTGGAGCAACAAGAGCTTCCCCAAAGGTTATGTGGAGATGATCTTTGAGTTCGACCACATCCGAAACTTCACCTCCATGAAGGTAAGGAGCAGGGGGAGTACACAAGTGAAATATTTTAGAAAAATGCTGAGCCAACACTACAGTTTAGTGAGTTGTGTAGCATGACACTGGGCAAGCATCCATCTCCAATAGCTGCAGGGATTTTTACTGAGACATAAAATGTATAAAATGATGCAGAATAGCCCTGTATAATGAGCCTATTTGTCATGGGATGGGTAAGTGCTGTGTCCAGAGATGAAAGATGTTTCAGCTACAGCACAGCAAAACAGATTAGTCATCAGTACACCTGCTCCTGCGTCATCTTTCCATTTTTAACCCTGACTCTGAGGTAACCGTTTAGTCATCATGGTCAATTTTTAAAAAGGAAAAAAAGGCACATGTCTAGTCGGTAGGATAATTGAATATTTGCATGACATAGATTTAATCAAATTGAGTATGCCAATGTTCCATCCTCAGGTCCACTGTAACAACATGTTCAGCAGAGGAGTGAGGATGTTCAGACAGGCCGGCTGTTACTTCCGGTCAGGATCAGACTGGGAGCCCGAGCCCGTAACCTTCAGGCCCGCTGTGGACCGTGTGAGCCAGAGCGCCCGCTTTGTCACCGTGCCGCTTGGAGACCGCACAGCCAGCGCCATCAAGTGCCGCTTCCACTTCAGCGACGTGTGGATGCTGTTCAGCGAGGTGGCCTTCCAGTCAGGTAAAATCACACACTGTTTATGTTAATTTATTAGCTGCTGTCATTTCACACTGACCCTCAGCTTCCACCTCTGACCCGACGTCTTTGTCCTTCTTCTGTAGGCTCAGCAGTCTACAATAATTCTCGCGGTCCAAGAAAACCCGGACACCCAACAAACACATTACCAGGTCAGCAGCTCAACACTTTTGTCTCTTACTCTACGTTGTTAATTAAAGGAGATGACAGTTAGCCAGATGAACTGCTGGCTGCTTTGATACAAGGCGGCTGAGAAGTTATGTGGTTGTAAACAAAGAAATTAAAGTATAATCATGAATGAAATAGAAGCTTTTTTTTATCAGAAGGATCATTTATTTATTTCTGTCTGAAAGTGTAGTTCAGGCCTAGTTTGAGTGGTTGCTCTGAGTTGATGATTACTATTTTATACAATGAAATTATGCTACCTCTCATGCTGTTGAAAAAGTCTCAAAGGGCTGATGTCGGTTCATTGTTTGCTGTTGTAAACCACAGACCCACATGATTTTATCCAAAAAGTTTAAACTCAGCATGAGAGAAATTAAACTGAATAAAAATTACTTTTCTAACATTATATTTATTGAAACTTCACGTTAATTCTCTTCTTAGATTAAAAAGGTGCACTCTTTAAATTCCTATCAAACAGGTCTGACACAGTAAAGGTAAATGCCCTACCCTTTGGCACTTTACTTGTATCCATTTGACTCTTCTAATAAAGTAAGTGTGCAGGCCTGGTGTGGGTAATTACTCATTTTAAGATGTGCTTTAACTAAATGGTTTCCTGGTTGAACAGTGCCCCCTGCTGTTGGCTTTAGAAACGACTGATCAAACATACATCAGGCCTCTCACTGGGGTGCTGAAGGAAGCATGGAGGAGATTATGCAAAAAGCATGCTTTCATATTAAGAACCTAAACTGTGATGGATTAAATCAAATCCACCTAAACTCTCTGAACCCTTCATGTCAGGAGATGATCCGACTCATAAAATGGACGACAGCAACACCAGGATCCTGATTGGCTGCTTGGTGGCCATTATCGCCATCCTGCTGACGATCATAGTCATCATCCTGTGGAGGCAGGTGTGGCAGAAGATGCTCGAGAAGGTGAGAAGAGAGTTAAGGTCCACTAATCCGTGATTCTGTGTCAGTGCTGGAGAAGCTCTGAAAATGTCAGACACGCCTAGAAAATACATTTAGAAAAAACTAACACATGTGAGGACTGAAGCCCATGCAGGATGTATTTACTACTATTTTTGAAAACGTTTTCAAAGTTTTTCCACAACATATGCTAAAAATGGAGAAATGTGCGTACTAAAAAGATATTATGCATGAGAGAAAACAAATCGGTAAATGCTCTCTGATTGGTTTTGGCCCAGGAGGAGATATATTAACAAAGGGGCAGTAAAAGAAATGACTCTGTGAATGAATGTTTTGCTTTCTAGCATGAGCTTTATGGTCTTAAATGGACTGTGAAGCAATGCAGTCATCAGTCTGTGGTGTTTTGGTAATAAAAAAAAGTCTCATAGGTGTAATGACCTGGATGAAAGAAACCCCTTGGACAGTCTGTGTTTGTGTGTGAGTCCAAAACTCACAGGCTGAATGTGTGCATTAACACTGTGAGTCCACTAAAACCCAGTTGCCGTAATGAGTTTTATGGGGAATAACTTTGCATTCAAGAGATGTTCTTTAGTATCTTCTGATATTCTAATAATAGGTGCAGCTGTCTCTTTTTATCTGTATATTTATCCTTCCTTTTGTCAAGTTTGATTGATGAAGTCCTTGTAAATCAAAACATTGCATTAATAAAACATTTAGGGGAACTTGCAAATTCCAGTGTGTAGAAAACATCTCCTTTTCCTCTGCTAAAATCCAAACGCTCTATTTTAAAATCAGATATCCAACCTTGATGTCTTACCTTACCTGTAACCTTGATTATTTAACAAAATCAAAAATATTAATAAACTCTTTCTGTCTTTAGGCGTCTCGTCGGATGCTGGACGATGAACTCACAGCTCGTCTTGCTGTCCAGACTCAGCCCTTCTCCTCCCATCACTCCTCTCTGACCAGTGAGGGCGGCTCCACCTCCAACTCCACCTACGAGAGAATCTTCCCCCTCTGCGCCGACTACCAGGAGCCTTCACGCCTTATCCGGAAACTACCTGAGTTTGCTCAGTCCACAGAACATCTCGGTAAGACTCTTAACGTGTAACACTGTGGCAATGTGTTCACTTTTTGTCTGCAATCTTTGCTCTTTGCTGCTGTAACACTGTCAATTTCCCCATTGTGGGATAAATAAAGGATTATCTTATCTTATCTGTATGGGGATAGCTGGAGCTGCTAGAGTGTGCTAATGTTTGTGTATTCTCACATCAGAACTGAGCTCCATCGGTAAAGCTCTTGCAGCTGGTGGTGCAGACGGAGCCCCTCACTATGCGGAGGCAGACATCATCAGCCTGCAGGAGTCTTCAGACTGCATCTCAAACTCCATCGCAGCCGTCAGCATGAATCTGTTTGCCTGCACGGATTCCTTCATGAGAGAGTTCCCAAGACACAAACTCACCTTCAATGAGAAGTTGGGAGAGGGCCAATTTGGAGAAGTAAACTCACTTTTTATAGCTCTAATGTTTCCACCACTGTTATGTTGACGTTTGTAGTAAAAGGTCGAAGCTTTGGGTGAAAGTACGAGAGATTGCTGACAAAGAAGAATCAGTTAGTGGTATTAAACTAAATTAAGAAAAAAAGATGGTTTCAAATGTAGGCAAGTCTATGATGGACTGAAGAAGTTATTTTTAAACAGGTGCACTTGTGTGAGGCAGAGGGCATGCAGGACTTCCTGGATGACGACTTGGATGTAGAGGGAAACACTGAGTCTCCTTTGCTGGTGGCTGTGAAAACGCTGCGGGAAGATGCCAACAAGAATGCAAGGTGAAAAAAATGTGTAACTTTTTGTTTTTAAGAAAATGCCCGAAAATGAGTCTCTAGCTGTAAGTTACTATTTATTGTACAGACCCAACGCCAAGGAAACATATAATGCATGTTTACCCTTCAGACACAGCAATCTGTTCATTTATATTAAATTTTATGAAGATTACAATAATTCAAACAAACAACATACAAAATCATGTACAAAAAAGTTCAAACTGACATGAGAGTCAAAGACGGTCATAAACTTGTCTTCTTCCATTCACACAAATGCATTTACCTGGAGCCTTGGCTTTATGCACCATAAGGTAAGGCTCCACCCAGTGTTCAGTGTTGGAAGTACATTTCTATACATGGTCGTGGTACTTTGGGTCTCACACAAGAATATAATTAATACATCACAAATAAAAGCAAAATAAAAAGAATATGCGGCTCCAACATTTACCTCTTTAATTACGATTGTTTGTCCATGTGCAGGAATGACTTCCTGAAAGAGATTCGGATCATGTCTCGTCTGAGGGACCCCAACATCGTGCGTCTGCTTGCGGTGTGCGTGGACACTGACCCGCTGTGCATGATCACTGAGTACATGGAGAACGGAGACCTGAACCAGTTCCTGTGCAGTCTGAGACGTAAAGAAGCTGCTGAAGATAAGACTGAACAAGAGAAGGAAGAGGGAAAGGGTATGGTCAGGTAGGCTCATATCATCACATTAGGTCATATTTAGAGTAAATATTATGTATTTAGTTTAAATATTACTCCTCTCTATTTTAAATGTCTCTCCTATGTAATGATACTGCAGGCATATGGGGATTGAAATAAAGTAAGCAGACCTGTTGGTTACATATTCACTTACATTAGACTAACAAAATGTTGAGAAAGAATTTATCTCGCAGCATGAACACAATTTTGGAAAATAAATCTTGCTAGATTTGAAGAGAAAAGGTTCAACGATATTTTGTATAAACATAAATTACAGCAAATATAACTTAACAAGGAGTTGAGACCAGGATGTTTCCTTTGGCTCTCACATTTGGCACTACTCTCACACAAACCACAAGGAGAAATATCCAGGAGGAGATGGGGATCTGTTAATTATGCAAAATTTGCACAGTCAAAAAAAAACGATTCACATTTTCTTTTGCATTGTCCTTATAACAGTAGGCCTATGTTAATATAAGAACACCTTTGATATATGATTTCTCTAGACTTTTTGGGGGCTTTTTGGCCTTTATTTGACAGCACTGAAACAGAGAGACAGGGAGTTAAGGGGAGAGAGAGTGGGGGAGGACATGCACCAAACAAGACACTGAACCCCAAATCGCTCCTGCTGCTATGTGTGGATGTGTGTGAATGGGTGAACGTGACTTTGAGTAGTCAGACGACGAGACAAGTGCTATACAAACTCAAGTCCATCTCAAGACATCTACATTTCTCTGTATGAGTTGGCCACTTTTGTTTCTTGGGCTTGGTAAAAACACTACTTCTTTAATGTTATTTGTAATATGTGTGTCCACTCTTTTTCCTAAATACTGATTTGTTGTAAGCCTGCTTCTGGCTTTGAATATTATAATGGATGATACAATAATGAGATAAAATCACAATCATACACCTTCTCTTGCAGTAAACTTATCGGCATGGCTGTGCAGATTGCTTCTGGTATGAAGTACCTGTCCTCTCTCAACTTTGTCCACCGTGATCTGGCAACACGAAACTGCCTGGTAGGAAAGAACTTCACCATAAAGATCGCTGACTTCGGCATGAGCAGGAACCTGTACAGAGGGGATTACTACAGGATCCAGGGACGGGCGGTGCTGCCTATTCGCTGGATGTCCTGGGAGAGCATCCTGCTGGTGAGTGCTAAGCCGAGTAGTGTTTTAGAGTATCCTCAGGTATTGGATGTCAGCATAGCGGTGGTCTCTCTGTTCAGTTGAAATCTAAGCTTGTTCGTCTGGTGCAGACTGCCATGAAGGTTGTGAGGAGGACCGAAAACCTCTCCTTACAGTCAATATATGAGCATGCTGTTCTCAGGCAAGCACAGAGGGTATTGTCTGACCCGTCTCACATTCTCCATGCTGAGTATGACCTTTTACCATCTGGCAGAGGAGTCCCTAAAAACTGCTTTGTGCCCACATCAGTAAAGTGTATTAATAAAGTTTATTAAGGCTGTATGGGTTGTGCAATAGCATCGTGGTGTTTTAATACTTTTTCCTTTCCTTATGTTGTGTTTAATGCAGATTTTGTGCAATATGTGCAATGTGCAATATATGTTTGTGGTGTTCATGGGTTTGTACTTCTCTGTTTACATGTGGATTGTTGTTTGTTTCTATTATTTTTATTTATTGATTCTATTGTGGAGACAGCTAAGTGTGTGTTCAGCTCTGGAGTCCAAGGCAAATTTCTCCAAATAAGTGCTTCATCACGTTTAATAAATAAACATGTGCAGCCAAAGTTCTGTAAGGATTTTAAGGTAAAAAAGAAACAAACGGTAAACAATCTTGAAAAACTCTGGGTATGTCTTTTAACATATTAATTCTTTGCTGGGTTTTATATAAATGTAAGTTTTCTGTTTTCTAAGGGTAAGTTCACAATGGCCAGTGATGTGTGGGCGTTCGGGGTGACTCTGTGGGAGATTCTCACTCTGTGTAAGGAGCAGCCGTACCCACAGCTCTCTGACGAGCAGGTCATTGAAAACACAGGAGAGTTCTTCAGGGACCAGGGCAAACAGGTGAGCAGCGTCCAGATACAGGCGACCAGTCCAATCTGTTTATGGTGTGTCAGGTATGGTCAATCACATTTTTTGGGGTAATCATACATAAAATAAAGTCGCCCAAACAGGATGTTCAGGTTCAGGTAGCTTTGCACAGTAACAACCAGTACACATGTTCACACTTTGAGTTCATTTCAGAGCCTGTACTTTTGCTGTACAGCCTGTACTGTAACCTTTTATTTTTCGCTCTCAGGTGTACCTGCCGAAGCCTCCCTGTTGTCCGGACACTGTCTACAACGATTTGATGCTGAGCTGCTGGAGGAGGAATGCCAAACAGAGGCCTGGCTTTCAGGAGATCCACGCTCAGCTGATGGAAAGCCTGGCGTAGCAGACAAGACAGGCCGCCTCTCTCCGCCATGCACTGTAACAATTGCTCCCTGCAGTCTGGATTTATATGGAATCAGAAACCACCAATTCAATATTTTCCGTTAGTTTTTTTGCCTTCTTGCAACAATGGTGCTGTAAATAAAAAGATATGAGGAGAAGGTTTACACTTGAACAGAGATTTAAATTGTAGATATCGTGCAAACAAGCACTATTCACACCTCTTTGTATTTATTAAATGCTTTTTATTTCCTAAGTCATTTCTATTTATCGAGTACTTCATGTTATTCATAGGTTTTAAAACACATTTTTGATTACCTAATAAACATCTATTTCTAGTGCACATTTAATTGTGAATGTTGAGTCATGTGACCTTGAATTTTAATATATTTGTTTCTTAATATGAAAGGATGAAACAATAATGTATGTTGCTTAATAAAACATGGGTTTTTACTCTGCAGCAGAGTATTAAGTATTTTATGAACATTTAAGTGTTGAAAATACAAAATAATTTGTGCAATGCTAAATAGTTGTCTTTTGAAAACCTGTCAAACCCTAACACCCCTGTAAATAATGCAAAAGTTATATAAATTGCATCTTTCATTATGTCTTATTTCTGTTTGCAGTATTCATATGATTCTATCAGTATTAGTTCAAATAAAGAACATTGTACAGTTAATATACATGTGAACACACTTTTTTGTGAATTTCTTCTTTCTAAATACATTTGATCTTTACATTGTTGAAAAGTTGCTTTTTTTAATTGCAGTAAACTGAAGAACCCTTTGAATAGATAAAATATAATATTCACTGCATATCTGATCATATGTAATTGAATTTAAATTCTTTTGAAGTATTAAACTCTACCTTGTAAAATATTGACCGTTTAACAGCTTTCAAACTAAAAATCTCTATTTAAATGTTCACTACATGTATTTTAAATGTTATCATATTTATCCTTTAACGTTTCATTGCCTTTTGAAACATATTCCAAATTGTCTTTGTTGATAAAGTTGTATTATTTACAACAAGCTCACTGCAGAAACTGGAGAAACATATCAAAAGAGAGCAGAATCACATCAGCTTCAGAGCTACAGAGAGAGAGAGAGAGAGAGAGAGAGAGGGAGAGGGAGTGATAAGGTCCACTGTCCCTACATGCATCAAAACTGAAGCTACAAATGTTAATGTGTGCTGAACTCCAATAAATAACAGAATATCTGTTAATGTATACCTACAGCTGCTTGCTGTTGTTTCAGTACTGAACTATAACAGAATATTGAGTGAAACTTTTCAAAACGTGAGGTGTACTCCTGTTGTTGTTTATGTCTGTGCGCAGCATAAATTGGGCAGATTAAAGTTGTTTGTTGCAAAAACAAGATTAATTTAGAGGGGAAAACACATTTGATATAAATACAACCCAATAGATACAAGACAGATAAGAGTACGACAACAACAAAAAAATGTCGTTTTATGCTGAACGGGTTTGTTTTATATATTGTGGAGATTTCTTTGCGTACCACCACAGGGAGCCCACGTACCACCGGTGGTACGCGTACCATAGTTTGAGAACCACTGGTCTAGCCTCTTTTAATCATTGCGCCCTTTCATTATTTACCCTCGTCGCGCTCCGTACTAGTACCTGATTGGCCATCGGTTTGCTGACATCCAATCACACCACTCGAGCACATAGGCTGATGCTTCTCAGCGGAATGGGACGATGGGTTGTACATTCCCCGTTTTGCGGAACACTAGAACTGGTTTCAGACCTCGGACTGGTCCTGTCTTTGCTCCCAGCAGCTGCTAGCTCCGGTTATAGACATGGAGAGAACTGTCATTGTCACAGGCGCGAACAGGTGAGTCCACAGCGATAATGCGTTTTTTTGTACGGTTAATAAAGACGTCACGTCGTTATGGTGACAACTCATCTCGCGAGATGTAAACACAACACTATACTTTTGTATAAGATAACTTTTAATGTCCTTATATTCATTTTATGTTTCTGCATTGGGAAAAATAGTCGCTGTACCATATCTATGTACCAGTCTAAATACGTCAAAGCCCAACAGAGAAGGCCAACGCTAAAATGTAATGACAAACACAATGTATGTTTAATTACTTTTGACAGCCAGCAGCTGTACATTTGTAATTATAGAATCAAATAAAAAAAATGTTCTGTACAGCAGGGAATAAGATACAAAAACATAAAGCACACCAGAAAGTGAAACTGAAAATATCCTAATAATATTGTTACCCTCCTGTCAACTTGAAAGCACTAGTTCAGGATATTTTGATTGCTTGATTTATTTTTGATTACATGTAATTAGGCTTTAGGCCACAAACACATTTTGAATGTGCCTTTATCATTTTCTCCAACTGATCATTTGAGACCGTCTATGTTTAGATTTAGATTTACTCAATAACTCTTAGTGATCACACAGCTCTTAACAGAATAGTGTTTGCGTGCTTGTGTTTGTCTGTCACTTCATACAGTGGTATCGGCCTGGCCCTGTGTGAGAGGCTGCTGACTGAGGACAGCACGCTCCGGCTGTGTCTGGCCTGTAGAAACATGCAGCGAGCCCAGGCTGCCCGCTCTGCCCTCCTCACCTCTCATCCTGATGCCCGTGTGGACCTGCTGCACCTGGATGTGGGCTCTGTGCAATCAGTGCTGACCGCTGCTCAGGAGGTCAAGACCAGGTAGATACAATGACGTATGACACTGTTGATACACTGATATCAGAGCTCCTTGTTCTCCTCACCTGAACTTATAAATAGTGATTCTGGAATAACATTTGATTAATGTTTGATGCATGTTTGGGTTTTCCCTCAGGTACAGCAGGATTGACTTCTTGTATCTAAATGCAGGAATTATGCCAAACCCTCAGGTGGACGTCAGAGCGTTTTTTAACGGTCTGTTCTCCAGGTAAAACTCCAAACCTAGTTCCTGACTTTTTTTTGATTGCTTTACGTTTACTTATCTGTTTTGGTTTTTCATATTCACTGAAAGTTTGCAGCTTTTAAACTCATGCAACTCGTCCATTGTCCATGCTGTGATGTGATTGTGCCCCCCCTCTCTCTGCAGAAATGTGGTCAACATGTTTGCTACAGGAGAGGGTCTCTTGACTCAACAGGACCAAATCAACTCAGATGGTCTGCAGGAAGTTTTCACCACCAACCTCTTTGGTCATTTTCTCCTGGTACACCCCATACTGCCCACTTACATGAAATATTAACACTGAGAACAGATCCCTTAATTAAGAGAGTATATAACTTTTCCTCAATGTTTTATGCATTTAAAATCGAGCTGTTAGTGATGGGTAATATTTTCATTCATGTTTGTGAAGTTATAGAGTTACCAAGGATAATAACAGTGGGTTGATGTCCATGTTGGTGTAGATCAGAGAGCTGGAGTCCCTGCTGTGTCAGGCAGGTCAGGTATCCAGAGTGGTATGGACCTCGTCGAGTAACGCACGCCGCTCTGCCTTCAGCATCGATGACATGCAGCACAGAAATGGGACGGAGTCCTACAGTTCCTCCAAATACGCATCAGACATGCTCAGTGTGGCAATCAACAGACACAAAAACAGTCAGGTACAACTGTCACACAATCTGCACATCACTGATACAGCGGTGACTATCACTTCTGATCTTCTAGAAAAAAATGCAAAACTATTAAAAAAAGATTGAACAATCTATTTTACAGAACCTGCCAATTGTTTCTTCAGTCCTCTCTACTTAGAGAGCCCTCTTTTGTTTTTAAAGATGTGTTATCTTTAACACTTTATTTAAATATTCTTGAACATCATTCATTAGATCTACAACATATTCTACACTGTTATAAAAGGGTTGTATTCTGTATTAGTAAAACCTTTTCATATCAATGTATTTGTTGTGTTTTGGGTCCTTCTCTCTGTAACAGGGGCTGTTCTCCTCTGTTATCTGTCCAGGACTGGTGATGACTAATCTGACCTACGGCATCCTCCCCTCCTTCTTCTGGACTCTCATCATGCCCATCATGTGGCTGGTAGCATAATTTTTTAAACGATTATTATTCTACCAATCTGTGTTCATTTAAGTGCAGTTGTTTATGTATGGCACAGAAACTGTCTCATGTTTGATGATTTATTTTTCAGGTCAGGATCTTCACTAACACATTCACACTCACACCGTACAATGGAGCAGAGGCTCTGGTATGTTGTCAGCCTGCTCCGTTGTTGTCCATGTGAAAGTACAGTAAGGATTCACGTCAGAATAGAATCACTGCTAATATGAATTCCTGCCCTGTTTCCACAGCATTGGTTGTTTCTTCAAAATCCCGAGTGTCTGGATCCCAGAGCAAAGTATCATAGTTTATCTTCAGGACTCGGGAAAAGCTACACTCAGCCACGGCAGGTGAGGAAGAAGATACACCTGACATTACCCTGAACCTGGTTAAGGGTTCAGACAAAAGAGGAAGCAATTTTTTACAAAGAGTCAATTCATAGATGCAAGTAGAGTCATATTTGCACTGGTCTACAAATAACATACAATTCTCTTTTTTTTTTTGTATATTATGTTTGCAGATTCAGTGTGCAAACAGTAGTACTTTGTACGCTACTTTCAGCTGTTGGTCATACTTTACAACTAAATAATTTAGCATTAGCATTGAGGACTACTTCTTTTGGCTTTTAATTTTGTGGTTTATTTCTACTTTTAAGAGATACTCTAAAACTTACGGTAGAGGAGGTGTAAGTGGTAGTAACAAAAAGGAAAAGTTAATAATCCGTGCCACAGATTTTTTTTTTTTTCATGCTATGTTTCTCCAACTGTGCGCACCTGAGAACGTATTGGCTGTGCACAGGGTACACTGTTGGCCATTTAAATAGGAAAACGTTGTTTAGACTTGTAATCTTACCACAGCATCTTAGCAGTCATGACAATATCTGTAAGAGAGTCTTGAATCTACTGAAATTCAAGTTTTGAATCAATCACGCAGGAAATCAAGAACATCAAGCAAGAAAACCAGGGGTGGGGCTTTAAACTGACATTTTGAGTGGTGCTTTATGTCTATATAATGAATTGATGTGTTTTTTTCTGTTCATGTTTCAGATGGATATAGATGAAGAAATGTGTGAGGTCCTCTATTCAAAACTCCTTGAACTTGAGAAAGACTTCAGAAGGACACTCAGTGAGAGAAATGCTGGCAAGGAAGCTCATGTACAGACAGCCGGTGACGAAGAGAAGTGATGTTTTTTTAAATGAAAGGTATTTTTGAAGGTGCATGTGCAATGTGTGATGAGAAACAATAAAAGTGCTTGTCGGGTGTACCATTGAACGCTCTGTCAGAGTCTCTTCTCCTGCTGTTCTCTTGTTGTAACGTTGATACCGCTGCCTGCTGTCTTCACCTGATACCTGTATCGTGTTTCTTCTGCAGCACCCTTCTTACCTTACAAACTTTAATTAGCAGTCCATTTATAGTCTGGTTTCCAGAGGCCTTTGACCGACCACCACCAAGACAATCAGCTTTACAATCTGTGGCTTCTTTTACCTCAAACAATACATTGTGACGCCCACACACACAGTCGGCTGAAATCACTGGCACATTTAAAGAAATGAAACACCGTCTGAAGTCCCTACCAGACCAAAAGCTTTTACAATCTCTCACCAATGTTTGAAATGAAACTACTTCAGGGTATCGCACGCAGAGGGTTCTGTTCAACTGAGATATGTCTGGCTTTAGCTTTTTCCTTACAGAAACACACAGCTGCTACTCTGATGGAGAAGCTATTTGCCCTTTAACCCTCTCAGTTTGATGTTAATCCTGCAATCTCCACTCCAGAGAATATGAAACCTCCATTATTGTTGTATTATGGACATCCAGAAAAGGCCGCAAAGACTGGAGAACAATTTTGATGTAATTTGTCTGTATTTAAATGATAGAAATGTGATGCTTCTACTCCACTCCACTATACAGAGCTGGTTTGTTCTTTCTGACTTTGCTACAATTGTTTAAGACAAGCTTTACTTTCAGCATTAAGAAAAAAATCATCTTAATTAGATTTTTAAAGGAGTCACTCTTTAATTTAATCTGCTGATAAAACTCTGTAGTCTAAATGTAATTAGATAAATATTTTATTACCTTCGCTAAAGAAGCGAGTCCTTCACCATTTGTAAATTCTCTGTTTTTCTGGCAGACTACGGTAAAACTAACGAGGTCAAAAAGCACAAACAGCTCCTCTCATTACATTTACAGAAGAGAAACAACCATCCATTTACAATAATCAATATCACAAGTCTTTAAACATTCATTTTTCTCTCTACTTACAAATAAAACGATTTACATGCATACACACATCTACACAGAACAATTCTTAATAGAAGAACATTTCCTGTCTGAATGAACTTTTAGGATTATTTCTCAATTTGAAACCATTTTTTTTTTTTTTACCCTGTGCTGTGCTCATGATGGATTAACGTTGGGTCTTTGTAATAATGAATAAGGTCTTTTACCTTGCTCTTTTCTAAAGTGTCTTGAGATGACATTTGTAGTAAATTGAAGCTATACAAATAAAGACTGATTGATTGACTAAGAGAATAATCTTTCACAAGAGCTATTATATAATAAATTATGTTATAATAGCTTCGGATTGTGTATTCTGAGAAATTTGACAAAGCATTGATGGATCTCTGTCTAACACTCAGTTATGCATGTCAGTTACATGAGTTCTGTAAGAGCACTTTAAAGAACAACAGGGCATGTTATTTTGAGCTACTTTACATTTTTTGTAAATTATTGAAATACTGGACCAAATTACAAAACCGTAATTGATCTGTGAATCCAAAGCATTAAGATCTTTAATGTCATCTGGAGGCATACATAAAAAAACCTCTTCTCACAGCTGACACAGATCTGGTGTCTCTCGTGCTCTTAATATTATCAATTAGTTTAGACCATAAAAGGTTGTGATCCGAGGTTATACCCAGCAGTTTTATCTCTGACTGTATGAGGGCACACTTGTCGGATATGTTAACACCAGCTGTTACTGGACATGACCGCTCTGACCCTAAACACACCATTTGCTGCTTTTTATAAACCCACAAATCCTACTTAATCTTATGATACGCAGCAGCATGGAGTCACAGCTGCACATTCAAAGTTTTTTAATAGAAATGTATGTCTGGTCTCCATGCAGAGTTTAATCACCCACTGCCAACAAAGGAGTCAATATGTCTTCATCTTGGACTATTTCTACAAAAACATTAACAAATAAATGATCAAGTTATTCAGCAAAGTGAAGACCATCATTTGTAGTCAGGCATTTAACTGAACTTTTTTGAAATTATTTATTTTTTTGTTTAGTCTTTTAGTTTGGCTATTGATCCTTCTTAGAATTCAAAATGTATTTGGACTAATCAATACTTTACCTGTTAGTGTGACTTTTTACTGAATTTTCCAAACATTTATTTATAATTTACCCTGTTTGGTTCCGGTTCCTTTTAATTCATTTGGCTTTTTATGTTGTTGTTTTTGACTGGCTGATGATTGAGTGTTTCATTAATGTAGGCTATTCTGTATATTAAACATTATTTCATTCATTTATTTGTCTATTTTGTGCTTCCGTTTTTTATTCTGGTTTAAACTGTAGTTTATTTATTTATCAGTCTTAACTTAAATAACCTGGCTTTGATTGTTTTGCATTTACTTGTCTGGGAAGTTTTATATTGTTAACTATAGCCTTGTTTTTGCTTTGCAGTTTGCACCGCATGATTTCCTATTTCTCAGCAGAACGTGGTTTACAGAAGCCATTTAATTTATACCACAGTATTGACGGCTTCCCTTGTTGTCCTGTCAGAAAGTAAACCCGGGATTATTCTGTGGGGACATTGGAGCACGTCGCGTCGTTACATAATGTAAATAAAAACATTGCAGTGTGCTCAGATTGGTGCGCGCCGCTCTGCTCGATGTCCCGGATGGAGCTCGCACCGGAAGAGAAGGGGCAGCTCTCCCAGCCATCTTGTGGCAGCATCCAGCGAATTGTTCGCATCAAGCCTCGTAGAATCGGAGGTGAATCCCGCTGAAGGGGCGCCATCATGCCCGGACACTTGCAAGAAGGCTTCGGCTGCGTCGTAACCAACCGGTTCGACCAGTTATTGGACGACGAGTCCGACCCGTTCGAGATCCTGAAAGCTGCAGAAAACAAGAAGAAGGAGGGGGCCGCTGCTGGGTCCACCAAGAGCGCCGCTCAAGCCGCCAAGCAGCTGAAGAAGGAGTCACAGAAGGACAGAAAGAACCCGCTGCTGGACAAGAAGGAGGAGTCCCAGGCTCCTGTGCCCCTGAAGAAAGAAGGTAACCTCTTCACCTGCGTTACCTCCCGTGTGCTCCGTGTGTTTATTTTTATTTTTTTTAATGTTTTATCGCATCAGCTGTCATGTTAGCTCCACTAGCTGCTGCTCCGTGCCAAACACAGCGTGAGGTCAAGCTCACGGAGAGGTTATCTACACTATTAGACTGACTGAGCTCAGGTGAATACACCTGCTCGTCTTGTGTCGCAGGGATGGATGCCTCCAGCAGCAGCAGCAGCAGCAGCAGCAGCATCCGACAGGAAGGTGTAGCGTCGGTGTCGGTGTCGGTGCTTGTGTTGTGTTATGGTGCGCTGGATGATTGTGCTCCGTCCTGTCTCCGCAGTTCTGTTCGCAGCTGCGGGCTTTGCAAAGTAAATGCGCAGAAATATTCACGCGGATGCTGAGACAAAAACTAGACAGACGGCTCTTTGTTTGGTTTGATGATATCTCCACTGAGTCAATACTTGTTTCCCCGTGTTTGTGCGTTGACAAACAGAAGAGCCCGAAAGTGAAAGAGAGGCCCGCTGTGAGCTGTTGTGATAAAAGTAAAAGGGAGACTGAAAATAGAAAAACATCAGGAGCTCCAATAGTGACTTTGCATGGCAGTTAACATGTCCCTGTACAAACATTAAGATTTACTTAATTTCTGTTTTTACACACTGTAAGTCATGAAATACACACATGCACAAACAGGATCCTATGGACATGCACTAATGGAGAGATGTCAGAGTGAGGGAGGCGCTCCTGAGCTGGTGGTGGTGGTGATGGTGGTGGGGGGGGTCGTTTGGTGCCTGGTTCAAGGGCACCTCAGCAGTGCTCAGGAAGCGATCTGGCACCTCTCCAGCTACCAGACCAACGGTCATCAATTTGGTCCGGGACTTGAACCCTCCGGTTCCCAACCCAAGTCCCTACAGACTGAGCTACTGCCGCCCCAAAACATGACTGTCATATGACGACACTAAAAAAAAAAAAAAATCACAAAGAGCATCCGGGTGAATGATATTTTCTGTGTTATTGACTCTTTGTGTTTGTGTGTCAGGTATCAGGCGGATGGGCCGAAGACCAGACCAGCAGGGCCAGCCTGGTTCCCAACACCAGGGTGGACCGGGTGAAGGGCGACCTGGAGACAAGAGGCCGGACCGAAGACCTCCCCGTGAGCGTCGCTTTGAGAAGCCTGCAGAGGACAAGCCTGAGGGAGTAGGAGAGTTCTCTGTAGACAAGTAAGTGGTTGTGATGAACGATGAGAAGCGAGATGAAAACATGCTGCTTATCTCAAGTTTGTCTGGTGTCATAGTTGTGGAGGCATTCATAGCGAGCAAGTGTTTGGTAAATTCTTATGCCACTCGATCACAACATCATACCACAAGTCATTTGTATTTTTTTATTTTTTGCACCGGTATAATGAGCTGAAAGGTGCGCTTGTCATATAAATAAGTTCCAAGTTCTCCTCTGAGAACAAGTTGTTTACATAATTTAAAATTCACACTCTCTTTTTGTGGCCCTCAGGCCCTCTGGAGACAGGCCCCCGAGAGGACGTGGTGGCAGCCGGGGTGGGCGTGGTGGAAGAGGACGGGGTATGGGCCGAGGAGACGGCTTTGACTCCCGCGGAAAGCGAGACTTTGACAGACACAGCGGCAACGACAAATCGTGAGTCAGTCCTACACCAGGACCAGTAGCAGAACTAAGAGTCCACAAATAGAAATGACTCGTTACTGGAGCGTCCTATTTTTTGTTTCTGTCATTTATCACCTGGCTATAACTTTATTAAGCTCTCTTACTGCCAATGGTAGCACTTCATTCTACAGTGTTGGTGTGGATTCTAATCTCTTCTCTGATTGTTAGAAAGTCCTGTTTCTTAGATCAACACTGTACACTTGTTTTTCCAAGTATTGTTTGTTAAGCTTCTTTTGAATACCGACTTGATGTCAGAGGGTTGTTGTTTGTTCAGAATGAGAGTTCATTGTGAGCTTTAAAGCTGCTAGAAAATACAATAATTGTTAAAGTATTTCCAATCCATAATTAAGATGTTGTCTTTTTAAGATTTTGTAAAATATCCTGATACTGGGTTTCAACTGGATGTGTTGGTATTTGATTTATTTGATTTTGGATGTGAATATGAGTATAGTCACATGTCTGCTATTTTTCTATTTATAACCATTGAACATCAACTATGGATGAGTATTGATGGCTGTTGTCAAGTATTGATCACGGTTGTCAATGTTTTGATTTTAGTCATTTCAGATAGAAGCGTGTGTGCTTCCTCCTCTGATCCTAAATCTCACCAACATTTTTAAGGCTGTGCTACAAACAATGTAAACACCAAAATGAGCTTTTTGTTGTAGGCTTTTTAATCCTTACGAATGTGCATCTTCACTTTAATGTTTGTGGATGCTCAATCAGAATGTCAACTTTGATATCATTTTTGGCATATTTGACCATTTTCTGCCAAATATCCAGAGACCCCATGCATCAGCGTGTGTTTTTCTTCCAGCAATCAGAAAAGCGAGGAGAAGCGTGCCGGAGGCGGCTCAAACAACTGGGGCACCGTGAAGGAAGAAGTGAGGTGAGTTTGAAAGAAGAGACAAACGGCCTGTTTGTGTGAGCCTAACTGTCTGTAGGACGCTGATGCACAGCTGATACTGGATATCAGTGGGCTATGTTAAGTGGCTCTGTTGTTGTGAAAATAGAGACATTCAGTCATCTCAACGGATCTGGTACATGTTATGCTTTCGGGTTTACAGTATACTTTGGGGAAAATATTGTTTTGGTCAGAGTGGGTAATTGCATGAGAGGAAATAGATGCAACACACAGTACGGTGTGTATTTTTGTATTAGTGAGATAGAGTTAAGATATCATGTTTCACTTGATAATCCAGCTGTGCGTGTTTCTTTTCAGTGAGGCTGAACAGACTGCTGCTGCTGAGACGACCCCAGAGGGAGAGGAAAATGCACCTGCCAGCTCTGAGAACAAGTGAGTCTTCATTTTCTGTCAGACGTTCAGGTTCAGCTGATATCTAATATTCAGTCATATCGTGTGTTTACTCCAGAGAAAGTACCAGCCCAGTTTTACGTCATGTTGCTGTTCTGCGTCACAAACGGCACCTCTGCATGTGCACTTTCGTCACAAAGCTTTGGTGCAAATTGGATCAACATTGTTTCTGACCTTTTAGCCTCAGGATTACAGAGCATGTCTGGAGCTAAGAGGATTGGCACTTTTAGCTCACTTCTGTGAGGTTCCAACGTTGTTGTGTGCTGGCATTCTAGAGAAAACGAGGTCGAAGAAGTGAAAAACGAAGGCCCCAAAGAGATGACCCTGGACGAGTGGAAGGCCATGCAGGACAAGGAGCGCACCAAAGTGGAGTTCAACATCCGCAAGCCCAACGAGGGAGCTGACAGCCAGTGGAAGAAAGGATACGTGCTGCACAAGTCCAAGAGTGAAGATGTTAGCGAGGTGATTATTGATATCAAGAATTACAAACCGTTGTTCCCCTGCAGCTCAACCATTTTGTCACCGAAGATAGTTTCTTTTTATTTTACCCACTGCTGCTGTCTGCACCAGCACTGCACACCATCCTGTTTGAATTCATCACACGTCACACAGTTGGTTAGAATTTTCCACAGAAACCAATCAAAGACACAATAATTCATAATATTAATTAGTTGAAACAATTGATTAATTTATTTCATTTTCTAGCACACAATAAAGTAAAGACATCAGGAGATGTAGAGTGAGTAAATGTAAGGAACTTAAGCACATATAAAGGTTTAAGGCTGTGACAGTGAATATCTATATTCACTTTAGAAACATCACTTTCTGTATATTACAGATCCCTGTTTTAACTTCATATTGATGATATTGACAATACCATTAAACATAACAAAATGCTATTTAAACAAGCGGATGATCTCCTCGCGCTCTCTGCTGCTTTTTCAAAGCTAAGATTGTGCTAAATATCTCATGTCAATTCAGAACCTTCTGATGCTATTTTAATCGGTCAGCAGCTCGTTGTAGATGTTATTCTTCTACAAGCCTCTCTTCACTAACCTGGTGTGATGACAGGATTGCTAGTAAAATGTTTTAGTATGTATGTATGAAACATGCTACATCCTGACCCCCTCTGTTAAAAAAACATTAAAATGCTACAGATCAGACATGAATAGTTTCAAAGATGAAAATGAAGGGAAAATATTTTTGGTGCTTAAAAGAATACATTTTAAGAGTCCCTCCCGTACCTGATGGTGTTATCTTTTAAACAGTAACTGTTTAACCATTTCATGTTACAACCAACAGGTTGTTTCTGAAGTCATATTTAAAGGAAAGTGAACTTTTAGGCACAATATCTGGGCATTTCATAAGTTAGTTTACTTTTTGTACACCTGTGGGTGTGTGATGGGGAGATATTTCCTGCAGATCACATCCCTGAAGTATATAACTCAATAACTGAAGGATTTTACATTTATACTGAGATAGAAAAGTAAGAATTCTCAAACAAAGAAGCTGCAAATGTTTAAAATGTGCACTCAGTTTTCAAACCAATGGCAGATTACTGAAACCGTTCTTTCAAAAATTGTGTGTCTATTTTTAATCTGGAGGTTGCCTATGCAGGACTCTGTTCCTTTGATATGCAAGGGTTACTGAAGCACTGCCAACTTGTCAGACATAGTTTGAAAGATGACTGCCTGAAGGCCATACTGTTTTCTATTTATTTTGAGCGTTGCAGAACGCACAGGCTTGGTTTCAGGGGCTGATCCTTGTGTGTTTGACGTAAAACTGATGAAAAGCCTCTTTCTGTTCATATTTCAGAAGCCTGTTGGAGCTTTGATCGACACCGCAGAGACAGAAGTAGAGCCACCAACTCTGTTCCACAAGGTGCCTGCAGCAATTCAAATGTTTAGTGTTTAGATTCTGTCTGTAGGAAAACTATTAGGTTTAAATACAGCACTAAATACTAAAAATGTTATATTTTGTTGTTTGTATAGCAGGCCAACCCTGACGACCCAAGTGACCACCACTTCCGCAAACCAGCCAATGACATCACATCTCAACTGGAGATCAACTTTGGAGACCTGGGCCGCCCTGGCCGCGGGCGTGGGGGAGCTCGTGGCGGCAGGGGAGGCCGCGGAGGGGGAGGCAGCAGGACGGCACGTGGTGGAGGACGCTCCGAAAAGGTAACAATAACTGCTGTTGTCACTGCAAACAATAAAGGTTTAGTGTCTCTCACAAAAGCTTCAGCTCACTGACTGTGAACAGGCTGTAAAAGCACTGAGTTGGAAAACCTGCAGCCAAACACACATCCCTGAAATAACAGACCAGTGACCACATAATGCTAAACCCACACACACACACACTGACCTAATGTCAGCATAGAGCTGAGGTTGTGTACTGAGGTAACTGAATCTCAACGTTCAAAATTAAAATTATAAGAAGGAAAACATGGCATCAAAGCCGTATTGTCTTTGAATTAAAGGTGCACTGATTGATATGTCACTGAAATCTGCCCATTTTCAGCCTGCTCGGCCCTGACTGGTTACCGGCCGGTCCTCACAAGTATAGTCGATTTTGTGCTGATCTCCGCCTGCCACACACCAGCCGTTTTATGCTGTGCGCACAACTACACAAACACTGACGGACATGTCAGCAGTGCAGACGTGAGGTGCCAGTCAGTAGAGGAGAAAAAAGGTTTGACAGAGGAGAAGAAACACAGCGTTTCCCTGCCCTTGCTCCCTCTTTACCTCTCTGCCCGTATGTATGTGCACGCTCCCGCTGTCGGTCTCTCTCTGTCTCAGGCTGGGGGAGCACAGCACGTTATAATATATTATTAATAATCCTGTAATATTATTTGGTTATGGAGGGACACCTAAATGATAACACCTCAGTGTATAATACAAATCTTATTGATTAACGTATATAAAGGTTCCTTGTGATTTTCATTAACACTCGTTCTGTTATCCGTTTGTCCCAGCAGGCTGGTGGAGTGTCAGTCCCCAACGTGGATGATCCTGAGGCCTTCCCAGCTCTGGCCTAAAGGCTCCTTTTCCACCACCAGCCCACCCATCAGCCCCTCCGGGTCCCTCCTCTACGAGGCTTGCATGCTTACCACATCTTCAAATATATAAGAAAACAAAGAAGAAGAAAAAAAAAAAAAGATTTTAAATGGCAAAAAAGACTGTCATCTCATTACCACTCACACCATCAGAGGACAAAATTTTACCCGTTTTAAAGGAGAACAAAAGACAAAAAAAATGGAGAAAAAGGACCTCTTGTTACACTGAAGTTTTGTATTTAGAAACATGAAAGCAGGGATGTTTTCATACTTTTCCCCCCTTTTTTTTTTTTTTTTCAAAGATTATGCATACTTCATTGATTTTATTTTTTAATGTGCTGCTTGAATTACTGCATTTCTGCAATTAGGTTGAAGTGTGTGTATTAATTCCCCTGAAGCTTTTGTGCTTTTCTCCCCTCATGACTGCAGCTCAGTATTATGGGGTCATCTTAGAAAAGACTTTGTACCGGAGATTTTCCTCCCAGTAATGCACACTGATGTGGCAGCACTACACTACATAGGAATCTTGTACTAGATATCTGAAGTATGGCTTAAAATGCATTTAAAGTGTAATTACTCTGACTCTGAGTACCCATCCTTTTGCGAGGCACAAATTCAGATGGGTAACCAGACGAAGGGACTTCCTACTAAAGCTTGGTATTCTTCTGCTTGTTGTGCAGTGAAAGTAAATGCCTCTTTTCCTTTTACTTTGTTTCCGTTGATAGCTTGCCTTTGTTGGTGGACCAGTTGTTAGTAATGCTTTGTATCTCTCTGATCCAGATGTGCTACCTATGTTTTCAGGCTGTCCCAGGGCCCAATGTATATCTTTAGGCTGGTCCTTGTAGGTCATACAGACTGTACTACTTTGTTCACTTCAGGACCACTAAGCAAATATTGTATTATTTTGAGGGAGAGTTTTTCTGAGTGACGATCCGCCGCCAGCACCGAGGGGCCACGCGGCCTCGGGTGCGGGGATCTCAACCGGTTCACCTACGTGAAGCAAATTGTGTGTGTGTGTGTGTGTGTGTGTGTGTGTGTGTGTGTGTGTGTGTGTGTGTGTGTGTGTGTGTGTGTGTGTGTGTGTGTGTGTGTGTGTGTGTGTGTGTGTGTGTGTGTGTGTGTGTGTGTGTGTGTGTGTGTGTGTGTGTGTGTGTGTGTGTGTGTGTGTGTGTGTGTGTGTGTGTGTGTGTGTGTGTGTGTGTGTGTGTGTGTGTGTGTGTGTGTGTGTGTGTGTGTGTGTGTGTGTGTGTGTGTGTGTGTGTGTGTGTGTGTGTGTGTGTGTGTGTGTGTGTGTGTGTGTGTGTGTGTGTGTGTGTGTGTGTGTGTGTGTGTGTGTGTGTGTGTGTGTGTGTGTGTGTGTGTGTGTGTGTGTGTGTGTGTGTGTGTGTGTGTGTGTGTGTGTGTGTGTGTGTGTGTCACAGCTAGTTACTTAGGTTTGAAGTATTCTTATGCTATGAACTTGCCATTCTCAAAGAAGACGGCAAGTTTCTTTTGCGAAGTGATTGTTTGAGTCCAGGTGAGAATGACAGACCATGGACATATCTTGCTCTTAAAAATTCTGTAATGTCTTTCAGATCTCAAAGCACTTGGTTTTTATCAGCACCAGCCCTCTGCGGATTGTTTCTCCCCTTATGTAAATCATGTTTGCTGTTTTTTTTGTTGTTGTTTTTTTTCATTTTATTTGTGCAGCAGCACCAAATGCATAAATCTTCTGAAAGAAATGTCAGCAGTCATTGTGGAACAATCATGAGCTACAGAATGTAAAGTGAGCTAACGGTGCTTCTAGCCACCTGTGTCAGCATTTCCAGTGAACTTTTAATGAAGCGGGTATATTTCACATTGGGGTGGGTGGGGGGGGATTGTGACCAAGATGGATTTAATTTAAAGCTTTACATGCTGTGCTCTGCAAAGACTAGCTGGTGATGCACTGATACAGACGGCTGGAGCAGTTTTTCTTGTAGGACTGTTTGAGCCACATGACGGTGAAACTTTCTCTGCAAACATCCCTGTTCTAATAAATTGCTTTAGAGGTGTTACATGTACTCTGCCAATGGCTGTTGGGTTGTTTAAAATCAATACTGTGATTTTAAAGTGTAAATGAACATGCTTTGGACTCTTCATTGCTTGAAGCGCAATGAAGCCATGTGAAGCTTTCTGTGTTAAACTATTCGAGGATAATGTGATATAAACTTCAGAGGGAAGAGAATTGTCCAGAAGGGTTTGATTTACTCTTAAAGTCCCAGTTGAGTCAACTTAATGAAAGGAAAGCAGACTTACAGGGTCCTAAATTCTACGTTTAGTTGCAGGTTGTAAAGCGCAGAGAAATGTTCATATTAAAAGTGTAAGCAAGGTGGGCCTTCTAATGGAACAAAGTGAACTGTTGTCACAGCAACACAAACTTTCTCCTCACAGAGTGCTGGGATTGGCTGGTTGCATGCAAGGTAACCTAAATACAAAGCAGGGCAATCAGATACAGATAACACTTGAAGGAACATTTCAATTCAGTATTTTAAGTGACATGCAATTATCTTTTTTTTTTTTTTTTAACCAACGTTTTAATGACTCAATACTGTATGCTGTAACTTTAAGCTTCTGTCATTTATGTGTGGATAGCATAGCTTAAACAACCACCGTCCAAAAAGTAGTCTCCAAAAGAAAAGAAAAACAAGGATCATTTATGTGTTTACAACCAGCTGACAGATAGCAGGCTATTCAGTAATATGTGTTTGTCTTCAAAGACCTGTCAATTTGACTGGCAGCCACTGCATATCAAACTTATTAGTTTGTTTATGTTTTAATGAGGTGTTTAAGAAAAGGAGTTAAGAAAGTCACCCAGGATTAATGTTGGGGAGATAAATAATTAAGCCGATCAAAGTGAGGACATTATGGATACTAAACAGTTAAATGCATCAAAAGTAATGCCAACATAAGAGCTGCTTCGGTAGATAAGAGTCTTCAACACATATGAGCAAGCAAACTGAAAGATGTTTATCTCTGCACTTCCCCTTTTTGCCAAGGAATGTTTTTTTGCGCATGCGCGTAAGAACTCATAGGCTTCCGTTTAATCGTCGTAGGTTAGTTATTACGTCAATGATGGCACAGCTTCACAAGCGTCGACGGGAGCTCGGCGCCGGAGACGTGACACCTGAAGGAGCGTCCTCTCAAACTGAGACAGCCACGTCAGGTGACAGCTCCACGGTGGTCGCGAAGCTGCTGGCGGCCGCATTTTACGGAGTCAGTTCATTTTTCATCGTTGTTGTCAACAAAAGCGTCCTCACCAGCTACAGGTAAAGGTTCAAAAGTACAAACGACAGTCACAGGAAGTCTTATTTCGGACTCTTGACCACCTGTAAATCAGTGATGACAGCTGCAGAGGGAAGAGATATTTATAATGGGCGTATGAAGAAGACCGACTCGGAGAAAAATACAAAGTTTTCTGAGCTGGGAAGTATGTGTTCACTTCCAACATTTTGTGCATCATGGGAGAAGAGCCTTAACAGGGTTTGCGGAATTAATATGCCCCCATACAGGCTGCAGCACTTATCTAAAAGTTCAGAGTAATGACCATAGACTGTAAAATTCATGACCAGTCAAACAATTGACTATTCTTATCAATAAGAGAAGCTATAGGAAAACTCACATTGTTTCTTAACAGAGTGTGGGGCTTATTACACTTCTATAAGATCTATCAACTTACAGGTAAATTCATATGAGATGAGATGAGATGAGATTCAACTTTATTGTCATTACACATATACAAGTATAGAGTAACGAAATGAGGTTTGGCATCTCACCAGAAGTGCAAATAAGCAGAAAGTGCAATAGTCTGTGCTATGTACAGTAATTGAGTGCAAGAGTCTGTGCTATGTACAGTAATTCTGTGCTATGTACAGTAATTGAGTGCAAGAGTCTGTGCTATGTACAGTAATTGAGTGCAAGAGTCTGTGCTATGTACAGTAATTGAGTGCAAGAGTCTGTGCTATGTACAGTAATTGAGTGCAAGAGTCTGTGCTATGTACAGTAATTCTGTGCTATGTACAGTAATTGCAAAATTTACAGAGGTAGCCAAAAAAAAGTGAATTATTAGGTATATCTGGATGGCTGGCTTAATGGGATGCAATAAAAATAAATAAATGCTATAAATAAGTAATGCTACAAAATAAGTGTGTTCTTAGGATTATAATATACAGATTAAGATGCAGTGAGCATCTATACTAATAATATACAGATTAAGATGCAGTGAGCATGCTATACTAATAATATACAGAATAAGATGCAGTGAGCATGCTATACTAATAATATACAGATTAAGATGCAGTGAGCATGTTATACTAATAATATACAGATTAAGATGCAGTGAGCATGCTATACTAATAATATACAGATTAAGATGCAGTGAGCATGCTATACTAATAATATACAGATTAAGATGCAGTGAGCATGCTATACTAATAATATACAGAATAAGATGCAGTGAGCATGCTATACTAATAATATACAGATTAAGATGCAGTGAGCATGCTATACTAATAATATACAGATTAAGATGCAGTGAGCATGCTATACTAATAATTTACAGATTAAGATGCAGTGAGCATGTTATACAGTTTACAGATAATTTACAGAATATGAACGTACTATAATACAATAATACAGGTGGATGAGAGATGTGTGTGTGTGACCAGGAGGAGAGGTGGGGGGATGATGGGTGTGAGGTGATATGGAGGGGAAAGGGGGGTCAGCAGGGTGCGGAGAGAGAGAGGGAGAGAGAGAGAGAGACAGAATACAGAGTTCGAATACAGGGAGAGAGAGAGACAGAATACAGAGTTCGGGGAGTGAGGTGATATGGAGGGGAAAGGGGGGTCAGCAGGGTGCGGAGAGAGAGAGGGAGAGAGAGAGAGAGACAGAGTT